GAATGTATATATTTAAGAATGCATTGGGTGATGGACTTACCAACCTCGTTGGATGGACGGATATGACCGTGGTCTTCCCCGGGATTGCCAAACCGGTGGGTGATTTTTCGAAGCTTGCCGGTAATTTATTGTAAATTGGAAAAATTGGCATTGCCATTGGCCTACGAGGTCACGAAAAGTGATAGAGGCATAAAATGTGCGGACATGAGTTTATATGAATCTAAATTCATATTCAAGATGGTTTGTCGACCGTTGTTTTACATCTACCGAAGGAAGATCGAGTTTGTTCTTTTTTGATCTTGGATAAAGAATGATCCGACATCCGATATGGTGGAGGGAACGCCAGGGTTCTTCGATTTGTGTGCGCCTATCTTCACAGCGAAAATACAAAAGAAACATCTCCAATGCTAAATTTCCTCTAACTTTTCACCCAAAGACGTGTGTTCAATATTGAATTGAGAAATACAATAAACCTTAACAGTAATCAAATGTGACATTTAAAACCAAAATGTTTAGCCCGTATAGCAAATCTAACGGATATTTATACTTTTCCGCCATGTTTTTCCTCGCTTTTCCAAGGATTTGTTTAAAATCGCAAACAAGAAAAACACGATGTTGTGACATCCACATAACTTTCGCAAATGCATGTTCTCGCTTACACTTTGTTTCAACAAGCGCTTTCAACATTCCAACATTTAATAAAATACCAGTGCATATTCGTTTTTGACTGAGAACAAAACTTAGTCACACGGTGTTATGAAGTTACTTACAACCTTTAACAATCATGCAATGAACACTTGTTCACACATTACATAAATTATGCCAAACTATGTTAAAATTTAAGAAGATATATTTTCACTAAAATAACAAAATTTTGAACTGATAGCTACGTTTTTCATCTTGTTAAAATTAATTTATTCGGATTTTAACAAATTTCCACAAGCAAAATTACAAATTTAAACAAACCGAGTAATTCCTATATTACACGGTTGGTATTTGTACTCACGTGGAGCAAAAATCATATCATACTATTAAAATCAAAATATATTTTTTATTCACACAAATCATGAATAATAAACAATAATATTTACTCATAATTTATTTTAATAATGGCGAAAACCATAATTCCTAAATTCTGTCTGTGATTTTCTTAAAAATGAAAATTTTTGGGACATTTTACTGACGAACCGCACCAAAAAATTTTAATATGTTGACAAACGTGTGACAGAACCTGTTCACTCTCAGTTTAATTTAAACCGATGGTCCTGCTTTAATAAATTCGCGATTAATTACTTTTCAATATAAGTATAAACACTGTTAAAGAACTTTATAATTGTTTTCGACAACCAGATCAGACAGTCGACTAGAAAACAGAACTCAATCTGTTCCAGGATCTTTTATAATTTTACCGTACAATTTCAGATCAAATAAAATATAATAATTTTTTTGTAAATAAATTATAAAAACCAAATGGAAATGGAAAAAAATTGTACACAAAACAAAATTATTTCAATTGAAACATAAAACAGTAAATAAATGTACATTCCAATTCTCATCACCAACTAGTTCTTTTTGACATTTAAATGTTCAATTTTTTAGAATATTTCGTATCTCAGGTTTAACTCCCCCCTCTCCTATACTCCAAAAATTGCACATTTTCACAGCCAAATGTTGTGGTAAGACTATTTTATTTCAATAGAGATTAGATATGGTAAAACCCACATCCCTATCCCCATAAACCACCAAAAAGTACATTTTTTATCACCAACTACCTTTTCGGACTGAAATGTTCAAGCTTTTAGAATATTTTGTATTTCATTTTTGACCAAGTGCTTGAATACTTTGACCTTACGACCCAACAAAAAATGCAAATTTTCTCAGCCGTCGGTGTGTAAAAACACTGTTAGTTTTTGTAATTCACACATGGCAACCCCCCCCCCAACCGCCAAATTTAACCTACACCCGATAAATGGACTTCTTCATTTAAATCCGTAAATTTCAAACATTAAAAAAACTGTTAGTTTTGGTAACACGCTTGACGACCCTCAAACCACGAAAAATTGCAAAATTTAATCTCCAACTATTTCTCTTTGACATTGACATATACTATTTTTCAGAATATTTTGTATCTCATGTTTGACAAATTTAACCTCCCCATTCCTTTCACTAAACCAAAACTTTCATTTGGTGATTTACTAAAAAATTAAGTGTTTTTTGCTTTTTCAAAGCTTACTGTTTGAAATTTGCGGATGTAAATGAAGAAGGTCCATTCTCCCCATCCTTTCACCAAAACGAAAATTGCAAATTTTTCCAGCCAATTGTCGGGGAAAAACTATTTTATTTCAATTGAAACATAAACCGGTAAATAATCCTTACATCGGCAATTTCAAACATTTAACGTTAAAAAAGGTAAAAACAATGTTACTATTTGTAAATCACGCTTGATAACTCACCCCCCCCCCAACCACCAAATTGACAAATATAACTTACACCCAAAAATTGCAAATTTTCACAGCCATGGTTGGGACAAAACAATTTTATTTCAATTAAAGCACAAACCGGTAAATGACCCTCCATCATTTACATAGTTAATTTTTAAACATTAAGCTTTAAAAACGGTAAAAACGTTGTTCATTTTTGTAACTAACACTTGACTACTCACTCACCCCCAAACCACCAAAATTTCATCACCAACTATTTCTCTTCGGCATTGAAATGTACAATTTTTCAGAATATTTTGTATCCCAGGTTTGACGAATTTAAACTCCTTCTCCTATATGCCAAAAATTGTAAATTTTCACAGCCAAATGTTACGGTCAGACAATTTTATTTCAATAAAGTTTAGAAATAATAAAAACCCTGTTTTATATCATTTTTGAGACTGACACGTCATAACACTCTCTCCCGTAAACCACTATTAAGTGCAAATTTTTAACACCAACTACCTTTTTTGAACGGTGAAATGTTCAAGCTTTCAGAATATTTTGTATGGCACTTTTGTCTAATTTAACCTCTACACAGTGTATAAAAGCACTGTTAATTTTTGTAAATCACACTTGACAACTAACCCCAAACCACCAAAAATTGCAAAATTTCCTAACCTACTATTTATCTTAAACATTGAAATGTACAATTTTTCAGAATATTTTGTATCTCAAGTTTGACAATTTAAACTCCCTCTCCTCTCACCAAACCAAAAATTGGAAATTTTCTCTAACGACAATGTGTAAAAACACTGTTAATTTTTGTAGCCCACACATGGCAACCACCCCCAAGCCACCACCAAATTAGCAAATTTAACCTACACCCAAAAATTTTAAATTTTCAAAGCCATGGTTGGGGTAAATCAATTTTATTTCAATTGAAACATAACGCTAATAAATGGACCTTCTTCATTTACAACCACAATTTTCAAACATCCAACTTTAAAAAAATAAAACTGATAATTTTTGTAATTCTCACTGACAACCTGCAGCCCAAACTACCAAAAATTCGAAATTTAACACCAACTATTTCTATTAGACATTGAAATACTAATTTAACTGAAGATTTTGTATTGCAGGTTTGACAAATTTAACCTCCCTCTCCTAGACACCAAAAATTGCAAATTTTCACAGCCAAATGTTGCGGTGAGACAATTTTATTTCCATTGGAACATAATTTGGTAAACGGACTTTCTCAATTTATATCCACAATTTTCAAACATTAAACTTTAAAAAGAAAGATGAAAACGCTAATAATGTTTGTAACTCGCACTGACAACCTGCCCCTAAATCACCAAAAATTGCAAATTTAAACACCAACTATTTCCCTTAGACATTGAAATCTACAATTTTTCAGAATATTTGGAATTTGAGGTATGAGAAATTTAACCTCCCTCTTACACACCAAAAATTGCAATTTTCCCAGACGGATGTCGGGGTATAGCAAATTAAACATAACCCTCCTTCGTTTACATCAACAATTCTCAAACATTAACCTTTAGAACGGTAAAAACATTGTTAATTTTTGTTACTCCCACTTGACAGCCCACCCCGAAACAACCAAATTGCCAATCTTAAGCAGCAATGTCATTTCAGTTTAAACATAAACCTGGTAAATGGACCAACTCCATTTACATCCACAATTTTCAAACATCAAACTATACAAAAAACATTAAAACACTGATAATTTTTGTAAGTCACACTTACAACCTGCCCCCAAAACCAACAAAAATTGCAAATTTAAACACCAACTATTTCACTTATGACCACCAATGAGATATCCAACCTCCCATTACTATACAGTGCATAAAACCACTGTTAATATTTTGGAAATCACACTTGACAACCCACCCCTAAACCACCAAAAATTGCAAATTTAAACACCGACTATTTCTCTAAGACATTGAAATATACAAATTTTCAAAATATTTTGTATCTCAAGTTTGACAAATTTAACCTCCCCTTCCTTTCGCCAAACCAAAAATTGAAAATTTTCCCGGCCTATTGTCAGGGCAAATAATTTTATTTCAATTGAAACAATGGTAGATAAACGGGCCCTCTTCAGTTACACCCACTATGTACTATTAACTAAACGTTTGTACTTTTTTAAATTGTAACATTAATTTTTTTTAACAGATATTAAGTTCAAAAATGAACGTGTTTTAAGTTAAAATTAAACAGTAAACGGACATTTTTTATATTTTCGCCGGATACACAAGCGTTTTAGGCTGTGAGTAATAGCTTTCAGCAATGGAGCAACAGCAAGTTTGAAGGAACTGTCAAAACATAACTTTGACATGTAGTCGTTTTTTTTGTCTAAATTAAATACGATTTTTTATATTGAAATCCCCACATCTGGCCGATAAGCTAGAAAAGTCGGAAAGAAAAATTATTTTAAATGAATAAATTTTTTCTAGAAACGATTTTAATTATAACCTAACAAAAGGGTAAGGGTAAGGGTGAGAGTGTTTACGGGGGGGAGGGGATCGCAGACGATAGATTAGAACGAAAAATTACCTTCGGGAGATCCCGGATGTGGTTGGCGTCGAGGAGGAGTTCCTCCAGGCTCCTCGAGTACCTGAGAATATCCTCCGGGACGTTGGGCAAGGAGCAGTGACGCTTGTCAACGTATTCGACCTGGCGATTACATCCTTTGAAAATGGGAATGCAGCGGAACATGTTGGAAGGGCGGAGATGCGGCGAGACGATTCGGGTTCCGAACTCAGACTATTTGAGGCGGCCACTGCACCACATAATTCACTCCGGCACTGGGAATTGAAACGGGCTCAAAAGAAAAAAAACAACCAGATTCGGCCACTGCGTCGGGATCGGCGGCGAGGGCAGAACTACACCCAGTCCCTGTCGGTTTGAACGCGGGCAGCGACGAGACGGGACTGGTCCGTGACGTCACGGCCGCGCCCCCACTCGCCGGATCGGCACGCCACCTGTTGGCGACATCGAAAACCAAACATACCTCAAATTCCACCCGAGACCGCTAAGCCCGGTAAGTCCGTTAAGCACCTTTTTATTTGAATCTCTCACAAGAATCGTACAATTCAATTGTTAATAAATCAATACACAACAAAAATAGAAATAGAAAAATCATATACTATTAAAATCAAAATATATTTTTATTCACACAAATCATTAATAATAAACAATAATATTTACTCTTAATTTATTTTAATAATAGGCGAAAACCGTAAATCCCTGTAGTCTGTCAGTGATTTTCTTAAAAAACTTTTGGGACATTTTAATAACGAACCGCACCAAAAATTATGAATATGTTGACAAACGTGTGACAGAACCTGTTCACTCTCAGTTTAATTAAAAACGATGGTCCTGCTTTATTAAATTCGCGATTAATTATTTTTCAATAATGGTCTAGAAGTATATTTTAACACCGTTATGATTGTTTTCGATCAAATAACATCTTTCAATTAATTAATCTTTATGTAAGGTATTGGTTGCGATAAAAAAGTCCATGTCACGAGCGGGATTTGAACCCACGACCTTCGGCTAAATACGCTGCTGCTCTAACCACTGTCACAATAGCTCAAGTCTCACACTTCTGAATAATAAAGATTAATAAAATATAATACATTTTTTTAAAATGTACACACAAAATTTTGACGACCTTGTACAAAAACATGGTCACAAATAAGTCTAAATGTACACCAAAACTGATGGACTAAACCAATTTAAGTTTTTTTTTTTTGTTTTTTTTAATTAAATAACCAAACTTTTTTTCATGCCTATTATTTAATTTTTTATGTTTACTCTGATTTTCTTTTTTTGTAAAAACAACTCCAGCAGACAAAATAAAATCCATTTTTTCCCCTCTATCATGTTGTAACTTGAAAAACCAATCTATAAAATCACAGATTCATCCCAGACTTAAAGGACTTTTTCAGATTTCTTTTACAAATTTTCAGGCTTAAAAAGTAAAAAACAACAAATTACAAAAATAAAATAAAAATAAAATCATAGAGCTATATCCAGAGATATTAAAATATGATCTCCTAGCACAAAATAATAAAGATTTGAGGCCTAGGTAGTACGCAGTTCTGAAAACACGTTTTCTCTTTAATGGCTCCATACTCCATAGTGACTTGAGATAAAGTAAAGTAAAAAAATGGCACTTGTTCTTCCCAGTCCTTTAAAATGTAAAGAATGAACACTAACCACTTTTGGAACAATCAGAACAAAAATTTAAACAAAAAAAGAAAAACGAAACTGCGGTACACAATACTTCTACATACCAACTGCTAGCTTAAAGAAAGAAGTGAAGAAATAAAAATACATTCCATGGAAAAATTTTATTTTTTCAAATACTATTCAGCTGTTTTCTAGTTTTAAATTATTTGTTAATAATTAAAACAAACAAAAAATTAAATAAGTTTCTCACCTTTCTTTTCCTTACACATTCATTGTATACATATTTTTTCAAAATCAATTTACACTGTTCTGTGAATTATTGCAAGATTTCCCAATTTCTTCAACAAATACAAAAAAAGCATTGATCCATTTATAATTAACTGGTTTGTCACAGCTTTTCGTACTAGAAATTTGATCAATTTAATTAAGACCATTTGGAAATTTATAAAATATTTGATTGTATATAATTCATTAACAAAAGTAACATAAATATATACAATTTTTAACAATAAATAGCAATAAATTTTACCCATATAACCTTTATAGAAAAGACAAAACATAAAAACTATTTATTTAACTAACTCTAAGTTTTTGTTTTTGGCAAAAGGATTAACAGGAAAAATAATATGCATATGGGTAATACTGAACTGATTATTATTAAAATATTATTAAATAAGTACAAAATAAATACAATTATATTTATATTTTAAATATTATCATCGCTTTTTGTAACAGTATTATACTCTAGCTTAGTTGTTTTGGCTTATCCTTTTCATACTTTTGTCTCAACTTTCTTCACACCAATTTAACAACACGGCAATGGCCTGAAAAAAAGTTTGGTTATTTAATTGAAAAAAAAAAAGACTAATGTAATTATTATTATTTACCCAGAAATGTTACCCTTTGAAGTTGCAAATTTATTTCTAACAAGGTAAGTTGCTAAAACTTCAGCAACTGCTTCTGGAATATCTTCATGCACAGCGTGACCACACCTGCCACGGCTTTGTTCAAATGCGTGTATTTCGAATTTACCTGTAGAAGCAGAAATTAGACTATACGTTCGACTACAAATTGGGCTTCAAATTACTATTACCTTGCATTTGAGCTACAGTGAGATCTGTATCAAGGCGGTCCAAGCTGGCCAATAAAAGAAGCTTTTGAGCTTGACAAGATAGAAATAATTTTGATAATCCTTTAAACCACCCTGGCCAATGTGTTTCAGTTGTTCTCAAGTCTATCCTCCAGGTGTATTTTCCAGCAGCTTTATCCTGCAAAGTTTGAAACATATTGGTATATAATACCGCTAATACATACATATACACACAAAATCTGTAATATAAAACATTTCGTACTGGTGGTTTAAACTGAGCTTCTTCTTCCTCAGATATACTCTCAACACCAGCTGGATTGATAGGATTCATCTCAGGTGCTTCCGGACTTTCAGTACAAACACCAGTTTCCAATTCAGTGATGACAGATTTATTGGTCACCACACTATAAAACAAAAATATTTTCCCAATCAATACACACTAAGAGGTTCGTTAGACTGTTTGCTTTTCACTTTAATCACTTTTTGATCTGGCCTGGCATTGATATTCTGGCAGAATCAAGATTTTTAAGATGTCCGCTTTGCACACTTAAAAATAACAAAATTACTGTTAACATTTATTAAATTAATCTATATTTGCTTAGTCATAATTGACCAGATTAATTTATTTTATTTTAAAAAATAATACATTTAAAGCATACCTCCATCGAATTGCTTCCTCGATTGAATTGAAAGACTGAGGCCTTCCGCGCAAAATGTTTTGCATGGAGGACAATGCGCCCAGTGCAGTGCCTTCGACCACATCAATAATAACCAAACCAATGAGTGAGTTGAGGTTTGGATGGTGACCTGCATGGATTGCAATGCTACCACCAAGGCTGTGCCCGATGAGAACCACAGGTGTATTCTCCGGCAAGGAAGTGTTTATCACTTCAACAACATCACTATAAAACCACCAAGAAATTAATTTTGGTGGTATTCACACAAGTCGAACACACTCACTTGGCCAGTACATCAATAGATAACTCATTATCATTGGTTGTAAACGTGTCCCCATGCCCTCTAAGATCCACGGCCAAAACCTTGCATTCGACCATTTCATCAAGGGAAGCCTTAAAACAAGAAAAATGTATGTAAAATCAGGTCATTGTATTGTAACATATTTGTGTTTTTCAAAAATATGCAATACATAAAAGTTGATAAAACAAACAACAATTATTACAAATAGTAATATTACTGATTACAAACTAAGTTGTAAAATATTCATGTTCAAAACATTTTTACTTTTAATTCAAAGTGAAAGGCGAGTATTTTTATTCAAAATATTTTCCTACCACTTTTTCATATTTCAGTGAATTTGATTGTATTTGATGATACCACTTTTTTCGGATTCAAGAAAAACTAATCCTAATTCCACATCTCTTAACAAAATATGCTATCCTACTTAGAATGAAAAGGTGGTAATTTAAGGCCAATTCTGGATGCAAAGCATGTGTTATGCATAAACGTACAGCTTATATTAATGAGTAATTAAAATTGTTGACAAATAATTTCTGACTTGACAAAACTATGCAGTCTCCTTCAATTTCTCTGTGTGACATTTATTATGATATTCCATTTATTGTGGCTGACAAAAAGCAGGGTTTTTACTTTCACAACCATTTTATTTAGTTTGCAAACTAATTGCTCCAAATGCGAAGCAAGCTTGTTGCCAACTTTTTTCTTTTTGACTTTGAAGTGCATGTGTAGACATTGATCGTTTGTCTTGGGCTTCTTACAAAACATTTTAGTCACCAAGTTTCTTAAGATGCGTTATATTGGCATATGTCCCAATCATGACCAATAATACTTATAATGTATTAATAAAAAATGTTGCCCATTAAAAATTTAATCAGATCCCAAATTTATTTGTAAGTATTTCAGGAGAGCCAATTATTTTATTCAGATTCATCAAAAATAAGAATTTTACATTTAAAAAGCGTTTTGATCAATCACAAGGATTGGTAGCATATCCTGGCTCAAGTAAATTTGCAAGATTTCTTTTTAACGTCTGCGGGGTAATGAACCTATAGTTTGGTCCTTTCTGATAATTTTGTCTGTCAGACACATTTAACTTTTTGCCATCTTCAGTAGTTTTTCTGTGTGATCTTTAATTTTGTATAGCCAAAACAGCAAGGAAAAAAGTAACAAAATTACAATCTAACACTGCTTTCTATATAAAATGTAATTGTACGTTAGGGCTCTGTTAAACATTGGGGAAAACAACAAAATTACCCTTGTCTGGATAGAAGTACACACGGGGCAGAGAGACGACAAAGAGGCCTATAAATTGGCAAAGGAAAGTTTGATGAGGACACCTATCGGTCCTGAACTCTTCTGTGGCATACCAACCTGCCAAAAATGTAGATCCATCAAACAAACAATGGATTAAAAATAAGTCCTCTGTTCAATGGGAAGAGTCCAAGACAGGCATGTGAAAAAGTTCATAAAAGGACCATCGCAGAAACTATGTGTAGAACTACTAAATCTAGAACAAGTTAGCACTAGAATAATAGTCAGACTGCTAGATGGAAACTGCAATGTATGTATGTACGTATAGACTCAGGGTGGCAGAAACAAGCCTCTACAGATTTGCCAGGAAGAAGAAGAGATAAGTGGAACATGTTCTCTGTTGGTGCGAAGGCTTATGTAGCTTGGTCCTCAACAATACACAAGAGAGTCGTTGTAAAAGCTTTGGGATTGGTTAAAAGCCTTAAGCTTACTAAGGAGTTCTAGACTACAATTGAAATTTACAATAAGGCAATACTGGTCTAGGTGTGGAGGTCAGAAATGAGTCCTAATTCATCAAGGAACTTGATTGGTAGGTCCAGTTTCAGTGGTTAAATTCCTTTTACGGTTGGATGTTGATTTCAAAACACTTCTACAGACTGGTTTAGCGCCACAGCTTGTCATTAGGTGTCTCTTCTGCTTCTTTGCAAAATCTGCAAGTGCTGGGTTGTATTATACCAATATTCTACAGATGCCCATTCAGTCTGCAGTGTCCTTTTACGAATCCTGACACGATTGGTTTTCCCTGTTGCATTCTGTTGTTTCTTTCCTTCCAAAAATTGCTATAAGTTTGTGGATTGTTCATGTCAAATTAGTGAATTACATTGTTTCCTCATTTTCATTTAGTCCTTTATCTAAGGTACTCATTGATAGTGTGAACCCCTATGCGACAAAGCGCTCTGGATTTTTCAGCAGTATAGGAGCCCTTTCCTTGCAAGGGCATTCACTCTCTCACTGCCCTTTACTCAATGTCCTGGGACCCAAAAGAGGATGACGCATGACGCACCTTAAGCAATAATCCTTATACTCTAGAACAGAGATAGTGTTGACAACTCTGAAATTTGTTGGAACGTAGAATGATGTGGACAGAAGACGAATCGGTGAGAGGGAATTATATTAGCATCTAGGATTGAAGTGTAGTTTTTATGAGTATATTTGATTATCTGTATTCATCCTAGTTTAACATTCACTATTTCCTGTTGGTAACAGCCAGGCTATGTTGTTAATAGGATCAGAATGATGTGGATATATGTGGAATGTGTGGAATGATCAAGGTATAGAAACCTCACAGACCTCAGAACATTTTAGAATTGGGGGAATGCTTAAAATTTTTGTATAAAATAAAGTCACTTTATACATTATTTTTTTCAATCGGATTCAAAATACTTACCACAAGTAAAGACCATGACAGGGCTGAAAATCCACCGCCGTGGATCAGAACAAGTGCTGGGCCTGTGTCTCCCTTAATGTAGACTCTAAACGTGTTGCCGTTTATTTCTAAATCCTTCTTTTCATCGAAAAATTTCTCCCACGTTATCGGTGAATAATCGGCTCGCCCTTTAACACTGCTTCTTTTCACCCTGGAACCAGAAAATTAAATGTTACTATCACCCGAAAAGAAAAAAGAAAAGGCGAGCTTAAAAAAAAAATTGCCTCATCGACTTATAAAAAGTCCTGGGGAACATTCTACTCTAAAGATGTGAAAACATTCAAAACTCATCCATCCGAAGCATTACGTATCAAGAGGCTTAAGGATCACTCGACCAAAACAAATACATAAACAAACAAAAAATAAACAAAAGCTCTATCCAACCAAATGGTTTACATATTTACAAATGAATTGTCAAATATTTTTGATGGCATTACACCTTTTTTTTTATATAACTACAGCATTATTTTGTTTTATTATAGTAAAATAATTTATTAAAGTTATTTACATTGGAAATTTGCCTCTTTCTCTGGGTAACCCAGGGCCCGGAGATCGTAAAAAAGGCGACCGGGTAATAAGAGATTTTTGGAAAGACGACATCCCTTCAAAGGCAAATTCACTCAACAAAAAGAAACTGTGGGCAATTTAATGGCGTCAATCCGCTATTTAGTGATTACCAATCATTAGCGTACGACCGAGAAAGTACTAACTACTAACACTACTGACGAGTAACGACAAACATCGCAATGGTGAATTACAGCAACGCGACCAGTGCTGTAATTCCTAAGCTGACTCTACTAAAAACTCTTTCTCTATCTACACCACACACAATACTAATATTTTAAATTGAAATCTATTGTATATATTGCAAACAGATTATTTGATCTATTGTTTATAAATGACAATATTCGCTTACAAAAAGTGGAATAAAACTACATTATATGGCTATAGACAATGAGTTTCAAATGTTTCTCACTTTCTGCAAAGCCCGTGGAGGGAGATGTAATTGTTTATTTAAAAGGCAGCAAGCCCTTTTACAAAATAATATACAATATAGCAGCACTGCTTGTTACAACACAAAATAAAATTACAATTAATTAAGGTTTTTTAGTTGAGATAAAAAAGTCAATGGCACGAGCGGGATTCGAACCCACACAATAAAATGTTTTTAAAGCAATAATACAGCAAAAAGTTATCAAAAAATGTATTAAAAAAGTGCATATAATGCAATATATAAAATATTGACTAATACCTTAGCCTGAATTTACAGGTAATAAAAATCCACAACTATATGAACTTGTGTATTGTAATTGCACCATGGCTACATACTAAAAATATTGAACATATCTGAGGAAAGATACCCTAAAATTCTTGTCAAATATATTATGAAAGAAAACTTGCACTGGTTTAAAAAACTAAAAGACCAGATAAATTTGCATGAGAGATTAATGCTATTCTTTATATTTTAATTTTAAATCATTAGTAGACTCATCTTGACAGTTAACAGAGCTAAAGAGCCTGTCTTAAGTTTAAAAAATGTATTTATGAATACTGTACATTGTAAATTAAATAAATACTAATAAATAAAATAACAAAATAGAAATCCTCAAATATGCCACATAATATGGACTTAAAACCTCTCAAATATGCATTAATCTATGTACTAAAAAACCCTAAAATTATGCACTAGAAATAATTTAACTAATTTTTTTAACATGAACTGTTGTGAAATAAACAGTATTTTATATCACATGGTTTGATTTAAAATACAACTGAATGTCCAAATTGTTCTGTGTACTAAAGATGGTCTTATCACTTAACAGGCTACGTTCTATTTGTTTTGAAAGTTTATTAACATAGTTTTTGATATATTTATTTTATATTTTTTTTATTATTTTAAAATACAACCAAATGTCAATTTTTGTGGAGTAAAAATCGTTTTATCACAGGCCCACATCTGTGTTTTTTTGTAAGTTGATTTACAGTTTTGGAATTTTTATTTCACACTATTTACTTTAAAATACAACTGAATGTCCAAATTGTTCTGTGTAGTAAAAATTGTCTTATCACTTTTCATTCTATTTGTTTTGGAAGTTTATTGTCATAGTTTTTGAAATCTTTATTTTATACCTTTTAATTATTTTAAAATACAACCAATTGTATATTTTTTTGTGTGGAGTAAAAATCGTTTTACTACTTGACAGACCCACAGTCTATGACTTTTGTAAACTTATATCCTTATTTTATTCTGTTTTATTATTTTAAAATACAATCAAATGTCTTTTTTGTGGAGTTAAAACTGTTTTATCACTTAACAGGCTACGGTCTATCAGTTTTGTAAGTTTATTTTTATTGTTTTTATATCTTTATTATCACTGATTGATTATTTTAAAATACAACCAAATGTCAATTTTTTGTGAGAGAAAATTATTTTATCACTTGAAATACCTACAGTCTATGAGTTTTGTAAGTAAGTCTATTTTCACTCTGTTTTAATGTAAAAATTGTTTTATCACTTGTCACGGTCAATCAGTTTGTAAGTTTATTTTTACTGTTACTGTTTTTATATCTTTATTTTCACTGTTTGATTATTTTAAAATACAACCAAATGTCAATGTTTTGTGTGGAATGAAAATCGTTTTATCATTTAACAGGCCACAGTCTATGTGTTATGGAAGTTTATTTTCAAAGTTTTTGATATCGTTAATTTATTATCTTTAATTATAATACAACCGAATGTTCAAACGTTCTGTGGAGTAAAATCATTTCATTACGTCACATGGCCATAGACCAAGAAGTCATTTGCTACACACTACTAAAAAAAAATCATATTCTGTAACTTACGCTGAGGCTATATGTTTGTTATAAATGAAATTGTTGTTGCTCTTGGTGTCTCAAAAATCATCTAATGGGGCTTGATCCGGTTTGAATGCCTCTGCCTTTGTTTATGAAATATCAAAGATGGAAATTTCGAAATACTTCGACACGGAGAGCATCGACGGTGATGTTAAATTCAAATTGCGCACCCTTCTCGACAACTTGGAAGAGCTTAAAGCTTTGGACGAGCTGGTCTACTACAAATTCCTTCTGGCCCTTTGCAGGCTGAGCAGGAAAACTGCCGACGCATCGACGCAGTACGAAGAGCAGACGGAAAAGGCGAGCAACTGGGGCAACGACATCGTCAGCGAGGTGAAAGCCATAGCGGAGCAGTCTGTCAGCCAGTCTGGATTCGTTTTCGACAGGCAGAGTGGGTCTTATTACAACGAAACTGAAAAGTGTTTTTATATTCCAGATTATAAACTCTACTATTACCACCAAACTGGAGCATATTACTATTACGACGAAGAGTCGCAGAGTCTCAAGTTCTATTCTTCCGTGAACTTAGATGATGTACAGACTTACATTCCAAAAGCGCAGGCATCTGACGCCAAAAAGGGCGAAAGTGAGAAAGAAGATGGAGAATGCTCGGATTCGGAGGATCAAGAACAAAAACCAGTTGTCATAGAATCCGGACCTAAATCGTTCAAGCCCGATATTAGTAAACACGTAGCACCGAGCATTCGGTTTATCGTAAAAACGACTGAGCTTAAAAATTTACCAGTGGGTAAATTATTTATTTTAACGAGACTAGGTGGGACCCTCGGGAGAGAGGGAAAACACGATATTCTCATACCTGACCGCAATGTGAGCAAATTACATTCTAGATTTTTTTATAGCCTCGAAGACGACGGATTCAATTATAAAATTGTGGATCTTGGCAGTAGAAACGGAACTTACATCGACGGCGTCCGACTCTCCGATTCTCTTACCAAAAGTGCACCGACGAGTTTAAATCACGGTAATGTTCTTACTGTTGGCTGTACCGACCTTTTGTGTCACATACACGAAGGAGACAAAACTTGCTCGGAATGCGAACCAAATTTGGTATCTAAGAAACCGAACATTCATAGGAATATTAAGGAACAACACCAGTTTGAACAAAAACAACTCAGGAAAAAATTCGGCCTGTCAAAGGGCCATATCGATTACAAAGCCGACGGCAAATACGAAGACCGTTCTGAGCACAGGAGGAAGACGGAGGGCTCGTCGCACGACAGCGAAAAAACAGAAATAGCATCTGTCGATTTTGCCATTAACGAAAAGAACAAAGGTTTCAAACTTCTAGAGAAAATGGGATGGAAAGAGGGCAAAACGCTAGGCAAAGAGGACAGTAAAGGATTGCTAGAGCCTATTAACATTCATCCAAGAGGTAAACGAGGCCTTGGCGCTTCTCAAGATATCACCGATATAAATGTAGTTGAAAAATCAAAGAAGGGACGTTCAAAAGAAGATATCCTTACTAAAACTAGAAAAAGATACTATAATGAATCTATCGATGTAGACCCAGACTGAAAATAAATGTACACTTTTCTCTTAATAATAAATTTTTTTTAAATTAAAAAAAGTCTCGAATTCCTTCATGTAAAAAGAAAACTTAAAAAACCTCAAATATATTTTCTTTCAGAATCAAAGTAGTTGCCAAATTAAACTTTCTTTGTTAAACCAACAACCAAAGGGAATCTGCAAACTATCAACTATCAACAGATTTAATTATAATTATTTGATTCGTAATGTTGTGATACATTATGCATATTTTTTTTAACACTTGAACTTCGTAAGATGCATGTGTGTTGTGGGCGCAGACTTTTCTATTTTCTAAATGTTACTCCACTTCACCTGCTACACAATTCCATTTTAAATTTCTTGGGCCACCTTAGAAAGGGAAAAACGTTACTGGCTACGGTCGCTTAAATTTTTTTCAATTGGAAGTGATCATTTTAAGACCACATAATTTGCTTTTCTATTTATCACTTAGGTAAACATAATAAAATTTAAAAAAAATGTCATTTACATTATTTTTAAGTATCAGAGAGCTATTTTAAATGATAAATTGGGTTCTGCCTTGAGCAACTAAAATGGTCAATCTTAAGATGCAGTCAGTGTCATAAATGACCTTATGTTTCACAAATTAGCCAGAGAACAGTACTCATGCAACCGACTTGGGCCTCTTGATCATTCTGGCCGGTTTTGCCAACTTTATGAGTCGGTCTGTTAGCTATTTTGTCAATTGTCGTTTAATAAGTTTATAAAACTAACAATGGTAGAACTGGCAATACATCAACCAATGAAATAATGACACACAGATCAAACACTGAAGATAAATGATGAGACGTGTTCAATCAGAGAAAAACAGTCAGGATAATTATGATGATGTAGTAGCAGTATGATTTAACTTATTATTATACAGTTTTTATAAAGTAGTGCTTTTTTTATTAACTAACAAATAATCTAGATCTTGGTATGGTCAAGTGGAAAGACAATGAAGTCGAGCTTTTGACCTATTTTAAAGTCATCGGGGCAAAACAACCTTAATGATGTCTACAAATTGAAATGATTTTTTAATAAATGGTTTCAAATTTCTATGAACATAGGCTCAGTCACAGCACTGTCAAGAGCTGTAACATGTCAATTTGTGATTATGTTAATTTGTAGACATCTTTACGACTGTTTTTCCCTGAAGATTATTTTAACGTAAGTCAAAAGGTCGACGGATAACAATTGAATTTGTTCAATCCTTTTTAAAAAGATAGTTCCTACTCACAGTAAATTGTTTTGCAACGATCCGGATTTCGAGCCTTTTAGCTCATCATCAGGTTAAACTTCTAAACCTGATGATGAGCTAAAAGGCTCGAAATCCGGATTGTTGCAAAAAAACTTACTGTGAGTAGGAACTATCTTTTTAAAAAGGATTGAACACCACACACTCCATCATTTATCATTTCTATTGAATTTGTTTTTTTCATACATACAGATTATACATGGGTCTATAGTTTGTTTAAATATAACTAAAAATAATAAGAATTAAGGGTATAATATTTTAAATAATATATATAGAAAAAATAGAATTTATTTACAAAAGCAGAACTATAATTTACAATTATTTTTATTATAAGTGTGTGAATATAAAATTTCATAACAAATGGACGGATATAATTGCAATTAAAAGGCAATAAACATGCAAAATCATTTTTTCCCTGAAAATAGTTCTAATAATATAAAGGAAGTGCTTTAATCGTACAGTTTTCCAGTCTTTTGGTTAACGTAAGAGATATCAGTGTCTCCATTGCCAGATCTGAGTGAGTTTCTTAAAATTACATGTCTTAAGTTCAAGCCCCGCACCTGCTTCGTCCTTGTCACTGTCCAAGCACAAGTTGGACATTATATGAATCAACTGACCGTGCTGGAAAAACGAATGTTAACATTCAGATCAAATTTCATTTAATAATATTTTTACCTTGTTTAACTGCCATTTCTGCTCGGCACTGCCTTTACACTTGTCGAGTACAACCGCGTTGTTTTTCAAATCGCGTTCAGCGCACGTAAACTCCCTTCTCAACTCGCCGTCATTACTCAGTGAAAAATACTACAAGTGATATAATTTTATTAATAATACTAATTATAGGCTGTAAATTAGTAATTACTTGAGTCGAAACGACTTGATGGTTGCAAGGGAACATTCCGAGTGTACACCTGCTTTCTTCGTCTTGTTGTAAGTTATCCAGGCACATGTTATTTATTATTGTGAAAACCTAAAAAAAAAAAAAAAAAAAAAAAAAAAAAATTCCTCTACATTTACACCAGGAAAATTAATGTTAACTGCCATAAAAATCAAATTTCAAAAATGTTATCTTAAAATAAAAAGGCTAATTTTAAAAGGAATTATCACTAAAAAGCAAAAAAAAAAATTAATAAGTGTTTTGGAAAGAATTGTTTACAAATCTCAAAAACTTAAAACAAAGTTAAAAACTTTTCTTAACTCTTTAACTGTGTCATATGCTTAGCCATTTCAGTTGGAATGGCAGAACCCAGTGAATCATTTAACTCTCTGCTACTTAAAAATAATGGAAATGATTTGGTTTTTAACATTTACCTAAGTAATAAAAAATATGTAGAATATAAACTTAGCAAGAGTTGCTTCCCCTGCAATGCTAATTATATGAAGTAGGCAATTCACAGAAAGTTTGTTCAATTTGGTACTCAACCAAATCATACAAAATGGATAAATAATTAATTAAAATAACAATGCACACAGAAAAGAAAAATTATAAGGTTTTCAAATAATAAAAAAAAAATTAAACGACCAGCTAGCGATAATTTTCCCCTTTCTGCCGCAGCCCTAGGAATTGCGAATGGAATAGTGTAGCAGATGAAATGGAGGGAGAGTTTAAAATGTATAAATGGGAGAACGCAGACCAAGTGTCCACCTCAACCAAAAGAACAGTTGGCACAACTCATATATTGTGTCTTATGCATTAAATTAAACGTATTAAATTCAAGTAATGAAATCTTTTAAAAATTTAATAAATTTGTATTAACGTCCATAAAAATTATGCAAAAAAATCGATAAAACTTGTTAACCACAGGCTATATATTGGTTTAGACCACGGATGTGTCACTGAAAATGCATACATTTCTTAAACACTGTTTACTTCGGAATTCAAGACAATTATTAAAGGTTTATCACCTGGGATTCATCAGGCATGTTGGTAGTTTTTTTTTATGAAGTAGAAGAAAATATATGAAGACTAATATATAACAATGTGGCATAAAGGATTAAAAAGAAGACCAATGTTTTATAACAATTTGAAAAAAAAAAAAAAAAAGCTGCGCCTAAACTAAATATGAAATATTTTGTATGTGACTCACAAACATTTCTGTGGCATTGAGAGTTAAAAAGATTACCAATGTTTTGAAAAAAAAAATTTAAAAGTCGACAAAAGTTAAAAAACTTCACCAGCACAAAATAAAAGTTCATGGAACCTTTTAAAAAGTTGTACAAAACTTGTTAAGAAGTCGGCAAAACTTTATACCTTAAATATTGTAAAGAATACATGTGTTTAATTACTTAATTACCTCTAGATAAATATTATAGGAAAGACCAATTTTTAATACTAACCTGGCCCCATTTTTGAACGTTTTCATCCGGGATGAATTTCGTTTTGTAAATATTTTGTAAATACCAAGAAAATGGTTTACACTTAAGTCTCCTTTTCAGTTCAAGCCTTTCTGATATGTCACCAATATTTTCATCCTAAAATAGAAGAAATAACTATTCTTGTAGGATGCCTTATCAAACTGAGTCAAAAGTGAAATAAAAGAAAAAACAATTACTAATAAGTCAGGACGGTGTTCAAAAAATAAACGCTGATATTCATCCATCCATACTTTGACCAATCGTGCTGTGTTGATACCGTGTGTATCCTTAGAATGGGGAAATTTATACGGGTGAAACGACCTAAATATATGACCGACTCGAGAACATGGAATTGTCTCGATAATTCCTCCGCATTGCCATACCTAAAAGAAACAATTTTTAAAAATATATACATACTTTATAATTTAAAAATGAAATTTACCCTAAAAGACATTTCTAAATTTTCACCGCCCCATATATCCATACCGTCGTCGTAAGAGCCGACATCCCAAAAATATTTTCTATCCATTGCAAAAAGCCCTCCAGCCATTGTGGGAGTTCTAAAAAAGATTAAATATGTAAATGTTTAAGGTAAAAAAAAATTGTTCATTTACCTTGTTGGCGCTTCAGGCGAACCTCTTCGAATTTTCTCTTCTTCTGAAACTGGAATCCATGTAAAATGCCCGTTCCAAGTGAATCCGCCCACTTCGAAATTAAAACTTCCCCCATTGTTTTGATACTCGAATGTCTTATCATCAATCACATCAATGATCGGTACTACTACGGCTTTCCTATTTTCCTTAATGCGTGCCAAGAGTGGTTCCAACCTTACTTGAATAAATAAATCATTGGTATAGTTGATTTTGATTTAAGAAAAAAAAATTAACTGGAATTTCTCAATTACCATTGGGTTGTCACTTCGCAATGAGCATCTAAAAAGACTAAAACATTACCCGTCGCTAATTTAGCACCTTCTAAGCGTGCTCTGATTAAACCAGACCGTTTTGCCAAACGATGCAATTTAACTTTCCTAGGCAGCCTAGTTGCAATATAGTAATCGAGCTTATCTTTTAACTCATCTGAAAAATAAATTTGTTTAACGCATTTGACTTCCTTTGATAATATTATATTCTCCATACCATGTTGACTTGCATCATCAACTAAAATAATATTTTCTAAATATTTATCTTCAGTTCGGTCAAGAACACTGTGAATTGTTCTGATCAGTGAACTCCATCTCTCATCAGTGAATATAATAATTACGGAAGTGGTTGGAAGATCTTCAGAGTATTTTTTAAGTGCACACCTAAATAAAACAAAATAAACTATTAAAAAAATGATAGATAAAGCAATGATTATTAAAAAAAAATAATACAGGAATATTTACAAAAATAAATACATATTTACACAATTTAAACAGAAGGATCAGTTATTTTATAAACAGTACAATATTATCTTATAATAAACACTATTTTTAACTGCAAATCCCACAATCTAATAATTGTGCTTCACCTATAGTTTTTTGCCAACCCAATAGAAACAATGTCAAACATCTTTACACAATGTGCAAGGAAAATATCTAGTATTATTTCAAAGTTATTAAAACTTTAAAACTTTGTGCTTTTTTTAAGTACCTTGGATGACGAGGGTCAAGAAGGGTGCGGTTGTAGGGGATTTTATTGCTAAGAAGAAGATTAAAAGCCTCCTTTTCCATTACAAGTTTTGCAGAGTCTTCCTCTTCCTTGGGCAAATATGCCGGCACTCCGTTATCACCGAGATGAGGAACTATTTCGGCTTCGTCTCTCTTTAGCCATTCTTCAAGTTTCTCATTCCAGAGCCCCCTCTTCATCCAATAATCAAGTCTGGATGACTCTCCTGCAATTTTTTAAAAATATTTTAAATTTAAAACCGAAACACATAGTTTGATGAAAGACCATGGTACAAATAAATTGATACTGTACTTGCTTTCACAAGCCATATTAACAAAAATGTAAATTAAGCACCCAAAAATCAATAAGGCTTCACCAATCAACTAGATTAATTCTCTCTTATCATTCTGATCTACAAATTTTTGTTGGGGTTATCTGTCAAGGCATGATTTGACAATAGAAGGAAAAAAGTCTTAACACATCTCCAGCTTCTAGGATAATGTAATTGTGTAACTCTGATGTGGCTACTAGGGACACATGGGGCTTGAACAGGCTGAAAATTAACAAAAGCAAAAGCCACACACCTTTTAGACTTGAACTGCAAATTGGCATGCCCTAAAAGCATAACTGAACAGATGGATTAAGAAAGAAACGACCACCATGCGAAACAATTGAAAAGTTACTCAACATCTCAACCAGAAAAAATATTTTATAAAAATATCTTCTCTGATCATTACAGCTTTTCTCTTGATAGAACCAAGAATTTACTTGGTTTACACTAGCAAAAGAACTAAAAAGTCATTAGGTACACAACAAAAATATTTACTATTGGATCATTGTTATTTTTAATACCCAAAATGGTTTGTACCTGAACCAGGAAAACAAATATCTAACCTTTCTATCAGTAAGCAAAAATTAAGGAAAATAATCGGCCTTTTCTACCAGACAAAGATGAAAATGAATCAGTCTTCACTAACCATATTAACACAAATATAAATTAAATGGTTTTTAATCAAATAGCTTGATTCTCTTTCATCATCCTGGTCTGAAAATTCTCACTCATGTCAGCCAAGGCATAATCCGAAATATCAGAAACCCAGTATCTGACAATGATGAAAGGCTGAAGCATGTATGAAAGACAAGAATGATCAAATAGACCAAACTATCATCACCTCAGACATCAATTTATCATTATCAATCTGGAGTGAGGATGGACTGACCACAATGAGCAAAAACAAGCAAACCACAGGTTTACTACCTCATAGTCAGCAATTGATCATTATCAATCTACCTCATAGACAGCAATTGATCATTTCAATCTAGAGAGAGGATTGACTAACTACGAAAATCAAAAACGAGCAAACTACAAGGTCACCTCGTAGACATCAATCCAGAGTGAGGTCAGACCACAATGATACAAGAGCAGACACCCTGAGCCCTTCTGTGTTATAGGGATTCACACAATCATTGATTATCTTACACAAAAAGACAGTGAAAATGAGGAAACAGTGGAATTCGCTCAATGGGCACAAACAACCCCAGAAACCTTTAGCAAGTTTTGGAAAGAAATTAGCAACAGAAGCATTAAAGGAAGCAGGAAAAAACTTTAAATCTTAAGAGCACTATGGACTGTAGGGGTATTTGAAAAAGATTGGTCCAACACGATACATGCAGATTTTGCAAAGGAAGCGAGGAGATACCAACACACCTACTAACAAACGTGGCACTAGACTTGCCTACAGGAGTGTTTTGGGATAAACAATGTAACCGCAGAAGAAATTCAAACATTGAAACCGGGCCTACTAATCAAATTTCTACAGGTGCTCAAAGGGCGCAGTACTTTGAATGAGACGTTTATTTCTACATTTAACACAATCGATTCTTGGTGGAAATTAGAATTGCCACCCTATTTGTTTGCTCATTACTGGCCAAACGGGCACAGCTCTCAAGCCTCAACTGTAATGTGCATTTATGTAAAATTGCAAGAGCTATTTTGGATGCTTGAGTTTTGATAAGCTAGACAAAAAATGAATTTCCATGGCTAATGGAATCAAGAATGTGTCATGAGAATGAAACAATTTTACCTAAGTTAAAAAACAGTCTAAAATGGATTTTTTAAATTGTTGTAATGTTGTAGTGGTAGGATTTACATTACGAGATATTCTATTATTCAGGATAACACTTGCCTTGAAAAGCCCATTGCCCACTTCGAAGAAAATGTTCGGAAACACTAATGGCCAATTGCTAGGCAATGAGGCTCCGGCCCTAAAGAAAAGGACCCAGGAAGAGTTTAAAGCTGGTATAAATATGGCAAAAACCTCGTAGTAAATGCTACTTTTTAAAAATTCTAACTTCAGCCGAACACCGCTTCCAAAGTAGAAGTTGAGCTTGGGCAGAGAAACAGAATCTCAGTAAATTCATAATTCCAGTTAATTATTCTTTCTATTTAAGGTTTTTGGTTAGAAAAATTAGTTTCACAAGCGGGATTCGAACCCATTACCTTCAGCTCAATACGCCACTGCTCTACTTGAACTACTGTGACTTCGATCCCTTCGGATACTAACTCCTTATCTCAACCTACAACCGTTCAATTTTTACCTGTTTTTGCCATATTTTCAAATGTCGTGTAATCAGGATTTGATTTTCAGTGACTATGAAGTGGACCTGGGGAACTGTTAGTGAAGTAATTACTTCTTTTAATAATTAAAATAATCCATATTTGCTTACTGGTCATTATTGAACATCTTAATTATTCTTTTTTAGCTAAAGTTTTTGAGATGAGGAATTGGTGTCTGAGAGGAATGAAGTCATGATAGCTCAAGTGGTTTGAGCCAAAGGTCGTGGGTTTGAATCCTGCTCGTAACACTAATTTTTCATCTCAACCAATAACTTTATATAAAAAGAATAAATAATTGAAATAATTAATATGGCTTTATAATCACTAAGCAAATGGATTAATTTAAATAAGAAGTCTGACTATAATGAATATCTTCTCCGGTTTAGTTAAGACAATATTAAGACCAAACAGCATGTTCATCAACTTAAAGACAACAATCGATGTGAAATCTAAATACTTATACATTTTTATGTGAATTTACAGGTAAATGCTAAAAAAATTCTCGATTATATCTGATCTTGCTGTTTTTGTCTGTCAGTTGCATTTTGGTTTTTTCTCTTCATTGTTGATCAACTTACTGACTGACAAACACAGAGAAAATAAGAGTTGGATGATTGAAAGAAAATATCGTACAATTTTTTGCGATTGATTACAATTAATTTGAAATTTTTTGAAAGCCTGTGGGTCATCTCTGATGAAGCCACCACCTTTTTTTTCTGACAGGACTTGAAAGAATATTTTTGAAAATTGTGGACAACTTTCATGGAACGGTTGTTATGTATTTAATCATTTAACATGCACCCAGCTCCTGTTTTTTTAAATAAAATGTACCTCCATCGTCGGGGTTGAACGCGATCCGGACAGTCCAGATAATCCACACGCCGACAAGGGAGATAAAGCAAAAAAATAACAAATTCCCATATTTCCTCCTGAATTTCAAGAGAAAGATCATTTTTTCACTTATTATTCTCTCGGAAACGCATGAGAGACAACGGCCCAGGGGAAAGGAACATGACCCGATCTTATTAAAATTAATCGTTACGCATGAGGCCGTTACTGAAAAGCATCGACGATTTTTAATTTCGCATAAAACGGATGTAATATTTAAAAAAAAAAGTGAAAACTTCAAACGTAAGACTGGAGTAACAAACGTGTCACCTTTTGGATATGCGAGGGGTTTCAGTCTCTGAAGACTGCTAACCCTGACATCACCATAATCCTGTTATATACCATAAAATTAAAAAAAAAAAGAACTATTGTAAATTAACTTTTTCAAGTTATATTTTTGCCTTTTTTTAGATTCTCCTTAATAAAATTATTTATTTCAATGTATTGTGTAATTTCTTTATTGTTCTCTTCTTGGACTCTAATTACTCTAAATTTAAATTCTGTTCAGAAAAGAAACATTGTAATATCCTAATTTTTGACAAATTTCCATTAAATCTATTCTAGTCTTAATTTAAAAACAAAAAATAGACAAAAAATTGAAATAGGCCTTGTCAAATAAAAAAATGACTATATTTAACCAATTTTCATTTTCCAATCGAAAAGTTAAATTGTTTAAACTAGTTTGATGTTTGAACGCGGAATTGAAATATTTTTTTCACGTATGAATAAAAATTAATATTTAAAAAAATCGTATTGCAAGACCAGTCGTAACTTCCAAACCTGTTATATGCCCCTTGCCCGTAATATTACTAATATCCAAAAATAACAAAAACTGATTGCAGCTCATTCCCGGAATTTTGCCAAAATGTCATAACTCCAAAACCTGTTCAATTCTAAGCCGAAAAGAACGTTTAACTCGGGATCGAACCGTTTTTGAATAAAGAAACATTCTTGGGATAGATGTAAGTTGAACGTTATTTTATCAAAAACAACTTTCCCAAATGGGTTTTTGGCTATCGGCATTGCTATTATACCCTTAAAGTCTTTTGTTTTGATAAAGACAAGGCTTGTCTTGATTAATGACTGTTTTTCTCTTTGACAAAAACTTATCCGTTAAGCCGGCCTGTTTGTTTCATAAGCCTTGTTTCAATATCTACCACTTTCTGTTGAATTTTTTTTAAAATACTTGCAGATTTCCGTCAAAATGCTCTGGCAACATAAAGCCGTTCTTTTCGTCGCTCTTCCAGTGTTCACATTGTGTGCTGCCACTTTGTACTACTATTTTAGAAAGGTGGGTCCAACTACAACTTATTTTATTTTTACAAAAATAAAAAAATAATTGGACGTGTTTAGGATAAAGAATGGGAAGAATACCTAAAGAGTCTTAACTATAAGTACGCAGAAGTCAAAGTGCCTAAAGATGCTGTCGGTGCAGTGATTGGGCGATGTGGCACAAACATTCGAGACATACAGGAAAAAACCAATACACGGATCAACTTCAAAGACAACGTACAAGGTTATTTTAAAATATTTATTTATTTTAAAGGTACAAATAGGACTTTTAGCTCCCTTACATGTACTTATCAAAAGCTGGGTTCACACTTATGAAGATTTACACCAAATGCTTTTTCTACAAATTTTTCACACAAATATTTATCTTCACTCCTCAACAGATTGGTTGATGTTTGTGTCCGTGTTTAGTGTGTTTAGTTAGTTACTACTAAAGGCAAACTCGTACTGGTATACTGACGGCTCCAAAACCGACAAGGGTACGTGGGCTGGAGTCTTTGGGATGAACCCAAAGACCAAACTGACGGTAAACTAGGCAAATAAGCTACAGTTTTCTTGTCTGAAATCATAGCGGTTGAACAATGCACCAGAGAAATAAAAAGGCTAGGAATACATACTCAGAAGATAGCCATTTTCTCTGATAGTCAGGCAAGCCTTAGCCTCATGTGAGGCGAAGGCAAAGAATGTTCGGAATTGCATGGAGGTCCTGACGGAAGTGAGCGACTCTAATGACCCTGGCAGGGTCCCTGGACACTCGGGGTATAGAGGCAACGGACAGGTTGACATGTTGGCCAAAAAGATGGCCAACATGGACTCTGGGTCCTGAACTCTACTGTACCTTAGCGTACTGCCATAAAAGAGGATACATCTTAAAATGGATCTTTAATGAGTCCAAAACCTGGTGGAAAATTACCATAGGTATGGGCACGCGAAGAGATTCATAGAAAGCAATTCATAGCAAAACTTACAAAAGAATTACTGGAAGGCAACCGCAACCGAACCAGGATTCTGGTTGGACTCCTGGCAAGGCACTGCCACTTAAGAAAGCTGACATAAGAAACACTGTGCAAATACTAGCAGGAAGAGAGGAGACCGTAAAACATATTCTATGTTTCTGCGAAGGTCTATGTAGGTGCAGGTTCTTGCAACTAGGAAAAGAAAAACCACAAGCAATATCCTACACCATGAAGCTGCTGGCAAAGCTATGGAGGCTGATTAATAATCTGAAGCTGGCTAATGAGTTTTAATAATAGGGGAGCACAATAGGTCTATATAGATCTATTCATGTCGAGGTGCAGTAGGCCTTGTGGCTGCCTCTTTTATCCTTATCTCTATCCTTATCTTGTGTTTGGAGATGGATTTAGACAACAGGGGAATTAGACAAGAAATATGCAATTCTCCTGATACAGAAGTATCAAGTCCATATAAAACCATATAAATAAATAATAAAAACTATAAATAACAAACCATAAAAATAATAACAACATAACATAATAACAAACTATATAAGTAATAAATTTCAAGACCACTGTGGGATCGTAAAAATAATTGGTATTTTTAACCTTCATGCGGGCACACAGGTGGTAGTCTACCGCCCTCATCATAAAAACGTTCTATGGTTGTGCAGAGGCTGTGTGGCAATTGTGTTCTCAACTTACAATATATGAAACTAAACTGCAACATAATCATTTTCCAGATCGGCAAGTTGTGCCTGTAATAACTTTCAAACATTTGTAGTCGGTAGTTTTTCCATTTTTCCATCGACCCTCATAATGAAATGTAATTATATTATGTATCAGTTTCGTATTTTTGTAGATTTTATTGTACGTATATTTATTAACGTTTTGCAGTGCACTGCACTGTTTATTATTATCTAAAGAATCATCATTATTACTATTATCAATTTTTTTTCTTATAAATCTGTATTATTAACAATTTTTTCTTACAGTTAAGTATTGTTTTGTTTTCTTCGTTATTATTTGATATCTTTCTCTTACTATCATTACACACTAATCATAAAATAATAATATTATTATAGATAGGAACCTTTCAAACATACCATCTACCTATAATGTGTAAATTTATCTTCTCCACATAAGGAACTGGGTGTTTTTCACCTTTTTTAGGGCACGTTTCTCTATCCGTGAGGACATGTATCAAATCAAAATGATTCAGGCAGTAATGAATGTCTTTCACAGGTTTTATTTTTGCATTTTTTTTTCATTTTTAATTTGCACTATGTTTACTGTAAAGACTGATATTGTCTGTTGATCTCGTATTGCTTGTGATTCATTATTTTGTCAATTTGTCATTTAGAATAATTTTTTTCAATGTTAGAGCTTTTATCAAAAGTATACCTATTTCAAAGGATCGTGATGAGATATTTATTGGATGAAAATATGTGAAAACGAGTTGGCAGTAGACTACCGCCCTGCGCCCACGAGCGACAAAAAAAAATTGTGCCTGCATTGAAGTTTAATATTCAAGAAAAATGATGCGTGGCAAGTCATATAAAATTCGGTAGGAATCAATGTTGTGGATGCAAAGCAAAAGATGTCAATTCTTCTTGTTAGTTCAATGACAACTCACACTTAAGTACTGAATGTAGGCAGACTGGCAGACTATCATTCATGCAGCACAAGCGTCCATATCAAGAGCCTTTATGCTGCGCAAATCCTTTGGCATTTGTTAAAAAACAGACTAGGTCCCAGAGCATGTGCGTTGACCAACGCATGTTAAAAACCGACATTAATTTTGGGATAAATTCTTGCATGTGTTGTTACATTCACATTCACATGCACATGCACAAAAATTTATGCTGTGTCATTTTTATACTTGTGAACCCAGCTTTAAGAATAAATTTAGTTTTATAAACAAGTTCAAATAATATAATAGCAATAATAATAATAAAATATTCAAAACTATAATAACAATAATATATCAAAGCTGATGAGGCAGCTAAGGCCCGGATGTCCCAACTTCTGGATTTAAGCAGGGAACACACTTACTTGACGCAACGCGACGTGACCTGATATTATCCGACACCTCGTTTTGGTAAGGTGTGCACATTCGATGTCAAGCGCATGCCATGGAGTCAGCACACCAGTCCAGTACAGCATGTATCACAAATCAGTATCACAATCGCAATGCCTCTTTTGCTCTTAATACAGTATTGTGAGCAAAACCATTAGTTAAATTCATTCTATGGTATGGTATAAATGGTATTCTGGTGATTTGATAAATTTTGCCCAACTATCATAATTAAACAAGTTTTATAAAAACTCATGAATTTTTGATAAACATGTTGTAATTAATAATGTAATGACAAAAATCCATTTAGTTTGAAATAAACTACAAAAAATATGATTATTCGGTTCTTTTGTCTTCGACTATACTTGTTGCTACTTGACGAAAATCTGGACAGTGGGGAACTTATTTACATTGCATAGCGTAGAGGAGGGTAGCGTTCGTAGCATCGTGCAGATGTACACGGAGGTAATACCATTTTATGGAAAATTAGACATTTGCATCAGGCAGTTTCGGATCATTCCATTGTGTTGGGTAAGTGTGTTCCAGGAAACCGTCGACGAACTGCTGGCCGATATGTGCAGTTGCTTTTCACAAAAATGTCAGCTTTTTTTCCAGTGTGAACAACTAATGAGACATGTTCCAAGCCAGTAAAGCAACTGAGAGATATGGAACAAAATTCTCTGTTGTTTTTCAAAATTTGTAAATCATAATAACCAAGAGGAAAACTGCAATGACTGGAGGAAATATTTTTGTAAACCAGTATTTTTTGTAGTTGAGTCATTGAAGAACTTCTTTTATTGTTTTGCACCTAGAGAATTTGTCCATTATGTGGTCATTTCTTTCTCCAGCCATTTATCCAGTTCCAATTGTAGAATGTTTGGGGTGTACAGATTTACGGTTCTGGTCCAAAGGGTGTGAGGGCTGTTTATGCATTTGTTAGTTTGTCAGTCTGTTTATTGCCTTCAATCTCCTCATTCCTGGTGCCCTCATCATTATTACTTAATTATGTTTTTCAAGCTGGTGATATTGCAGACCAGGATGATAAGAAACAATCTTGCCGTTTTGACTTTTGATTGTTTGATTTGTATGCAAAAGTTTATATTTATTTCATTTAACTTATTTTCTTGATCCCCTTTGATCAACCTGGTTAGAAATGCTTTTTGCTATTTTTCCTGTGCAAAGGGAAGAACATAAAGCAACTAATGAAAATAGCAAAATGCGGGAAAACATCTCACAGACAAAGCCAGTAAGACTAAGCAGATCATGATGGTTGCTGGAAATGTTAATTGATGAATGAATTTAATTTTAACTCTTCAATTGGTCTCAAATTTTAAAGTTTTATTGTAAAAAAAACCAAAACTACACTAAAAAAACAACTTTGACATACTTTATTTCAGATGAAAAGGGTTTTAAGATTTGTAAAATCAGAGGAGAAAAAGACAATGTTGACATCGCAGAAAGGCTCATTTTGGAAACAATTGCTACACAAAGTTCAATTAAATCGTACGAAATGTGGGTTCCTGCTGTAAGTATATAAAAATTTATAACACCTTTTAAATTTTTTTTCAAAATTCAAAACACATTTCCATAGAAATCTTGCGGAAGAATAATAGGAAGGTGTGGAGATAATATCAGAGCCATTGGAAGAGCTTCAAACGCGAGCATTACCTTAGACAAAATGTCACCAGGTATTTCTCATAATCGATTGTTTTTTCTTATAATAATAAATTGATTTTACCTTTTTTTTTTTTAAATAGTGACTAATGTTGATCAGAAGCTTTTAATTATAAAAGGAACCGAAGAGCAGATTGCAATTGCAAAGACACTAATCGAGGAAAAAATCAAAGAAGAGGAAGATGCAAGAAATAAAATGCAATATACATTGTCTAATAGGTCGCCGCGTTTAAAATCTAAAAGAGATAAAAAAAATGTTTGTTTACTAAATGTGATATTATATACCTCTCATTTGTATTTCATTGCATTCAATTATTTATTTGTGTAGCTTCTTGAGGAAAAGAGAGAGCCACAGTATGAAAGATTGATGGCATCTGCAAATGAAAATATGATCAAAGTATACGTGTCTTCTGTTGCTAATCCAAATAATTTTTGGCTTCAGGTAACTTTTTTAAACAATATTTTGTCAAAGTTGTTTATAAACAATGCGATTTTTTTTAGCTTATCACACCGAAATCTGGCGATCTTGATCATTTGGTTGAAAACATGACAGATTATTATAGCCTAGAAGAAAATAGAGAAGCTCATAAGCTTTTAAAAGTAACAATTCTCGTCAAAAGCATGCTTTTCTAGAATTAACTAAACAATGTTTTAGGTTCAAATAGGTCAAATTGTCGCTGCAAAATTAAGGGCTGACAATAAGTGGTATAGGGTGGAAGTTAAAAGCTTTGAGAATGAACAAGAAGAACAAAACCCTGATACAACTGTAAGATTTAAATCTTATTTATATAGTTTTTTATTTATTTTTGTGATCTAAATTTAAATTTTCTTCAGGTTATTGTTTTCTTTGTTGATTATGGAGACTTCTCATCTGAAAAAGTACAGGATTTGTTTCAACTGCGAGCTGATTTTCTATCTCTTCGCTTTCAAGCTATTGAAGTTTTAATGAAAGGGATTGTGCCAAAGTATTTAAACATTTTGAATAAATTAAAAAGAATGTGTACGTTTCTATTTACCTTATCGTTTAAAGGGGAGGTGCCAAAAACTGGAGTGAAAAGGAAATTACTACTTTCGAAGACTTGGTATTTACTGGCCAGTGGAAAATGATGATGGCACAAGTCATTGAGTATAAGTCGATAGAAGGAAACAACAAAGAAGTCAATTGTCTACCTTGTATAAGACTGTATAATCCTGAAGGAACACCGGTAAAATGTTTGATTTTTATTCTCTACTAATTCTTTATATCAATTCTAAAAATTAGAGTAGGTAATTTTCGACTTTCACATCCACCAGGCATACATCGCCAATGTTACTTTTCTTTAAATGGAATCACCGCAGATTATGATGATTTCTCTGCTGTATGTTTTTGCTTTGTGAGTTTCTGTATTGCAGAACATCAGGCTGCAGAAACTCACGCCTGTGGTGTTCTGAGCAACACCAAGATGAATGATCTTTACAATATCCAAGTTTGATGTTATTGGTTGCTTTGCATAGTTTGAAGCAGTTAGAGGGTCCTTATCAGCTTATTCTAGCTGGCATTATGTCATGAACTGTTCGAAAAATTAAAATTTGTGGCTAATTTATGTAGCCATTTGTCACCCATTATGCCCAAGGTGATTATGGATGATAAAGATGACATGCAGAGGGTTAAACCCAAATAATCAAAACTATTGACATTTTGTTGAAGTCGTGCGAAACAGTCAGGAGTAAAGTATTTTAGAATGATACCTTTTTAATTTTTTTCTGAATTTTCAGGACACGTAAGAATTGCACTACACTTCCTGGGAGTATGAAATAATTGTTTCAAAATTTATATTTTCATCTGTATTGTACTTCTTCCAATCAACATGTTTTATACTTCTCCCAGGCCCTAAAGTCGTCCTGAATAAAGGTTGAACATCGGCAAAAAAAAAATGAAAAAGGTGTTTTTCTAATATACTGTATTCCTGACCACTCCTAACGACTTCAACAAATTATTGAACAACTGGTCAATAAAAAACTGAAACTGTATAACAATTACAATTTGTAAATGGAGTTTTGATGCTAACATGCCTTTTATATTAAATAACGTATTTATAATTAATTATTATTATTCAGAAATCGTGAGATGCGGTCTGGTGTGATGTAGGTTTCAGAAAAACATTTTCTTTATCGTGCCAACGTTTCGATCTTTATTGAGATCATCCTCAGGGCCTGGGATTTCCAACCTACATCACACCAGACCGCATCTCACGATTTCTGAATAATTATCGATTAACGGTCACTAATCACCACACATTAATTATTATGTTAATTTGTTCTAGGGTGTTGATATTGCTAAGAAAATGATAGAATTAGGTGAAGCAGATCCTGAACCAGTCAACGTAAGTGACACTGGTGTTGAAGAAAGTGACGAAACTGCAACCAAACTCGAAGAAGATTCAGATAAAAGTGAGAAAGAATCAGACCAAGGGAAAAGTGAAAATAACCCGAACGAGGGTGAAATTGTAGACTATGGTGCAACTGTTGATAACGCAAACAATTCCAGTCTTAATTCTAGCCTCGAGAAGTCTTCCAATTTAAATGCCATGCAACCAAATTCAAACGATGTTGAGAACGTAAACAGCCCGTCAATTCATATCCCGAACAAGGGCAAAGTCGATTCGAAGGATATGAAAGATGTGGAGAGCAGTTTATCCGAATCGTTTGACAAGTCTTGCGATGGTATTTTAGAACAGTTTGAATCATTTCTTAACAGTTCCCAAGAGGTGGAAACTGTGATCAATACAATTCCTGATTTCATCAAGCATGAGCGTCAAGCACAAAACTAGAATTATCAAACAGAAGACTGGAACAATTTTCTATCAATTGTGATATTGAACACTTGTCAGATGTGATTGCTTCTTTTTTTAATTGTCTTGTTTCCTTTTAATTACTTTTTGTTTTGCAGTATATAAAAATCGTTTTATAAGATCTCCCTCAAAAAACAAAAATTATTTCAAATTTGTGCCATCTTTAGTGCCTTATCATTCTTTTGTTTTTAACCATTTTATACTTATGTGTTGTATACTTATTGTGTCAAAAAGTAAAGTTTTTATGTCAAAGGCTTTTTGACGTAATGTTTACTTAAAAAAAGAAAAAAATAGATTAAGAATTTTGCTGAATCATTGTACTAGGATGTTTTTAAATTGTTTATTTTAATACATTATTTTCAAAAGCAGTTTATGGTTTTTATTACTCCATTTCCTCCCAAATCCTAAATAGTACCTTGGTAGAATTTTACCAGTTGTTTGGCTGCTTCTTTAATTATGTAGGGTTGTAATTAGCCGTTTTCCATTTATTTTCATTTTAAATACTTTTTGACCACTGGCTTCTCACTGAATTTAAAAAACTTCCCTAGTTTTATAATATAACTCCTAAATAGTAACAATCACAAGAAATGTTTATAACAAATAAATGGGCAAATTATATTCTCTTCATCTTGTACACGATTTCACATTTTTTAAATCCTTAGATTACAATAAATCACTTAGAATTTCACTAAGATTGGAAATTAATTTTTTCCCTCCAGTTAATAAAATTAATGACAGCATATTTTATCACTGAATTAATTGTAGTAACTTATCATCTTGGTCTGCCTATCGATGATTTTGCCGGTCAGACGCATTTCAGCATTTTGCCTTCTTCATGTTGACTTTGATGATTAGGGGTTGACGAACGGAATGTGAAAAAATCAGCGAGGATAGGCAGACCAAGATGATAGGTAGCTGTCAGGTTCACCCCTGACAATAGGAGGAAATTTCACAATTGAATTTTTTTACATTATTGCAGTATCAAATAAGGTAATTAGAAGTTATTACACTGTTCTATGAACTTAAGAACACCACGATTGTTGTTCTTTAAACAATTTAAAAAAATATTCCCAACATCCTTCCCAAGCTCGGAACACAACACATAGGATCATCTGCTGCCCCTCTTTGAGTCCTGTGTCCTATGAGCTCATCTGCCATCTGCCTGGTCGACTATGGCCCTCCATGCTACTTATATATATGGTTGATTAGTGCATCATGACAGCAATGGAGATAATAAAATGAAAATGGTTTGCAATACAATGAAAATAACAATATATATATTTTTTTCATGAGTTTAAATTTTCTTGGCAATAATATAACTGAGATTTATATTTTGATCATTACTGATCTCTTGGTCTACCTATACGTCCTGGATTGGTCTGATGAAATTTTTGGTGGTTTGGTATGGCACAAAAGCGTCCAGGATGCCCTCATCAAACTTTCCTTGGCCGATTTATCAGCCGCTTCGTTGACTCTCTGCCAAGGTTGATTTTGTCGTTTTCATCAACAATTGACCCTAATGCTATCCCAGAACCTTTAGAACAACTTGTAAGAAGTAGTGTAAATTTACAAAGCAATAAATCAATGAAATTGCAAGTAAAATGTCAGACGTCTCAATTTCATCCATTATTTAGTATGCACTTAAATATGTGAGTTTTCAAGCCAACAATGGAAAAAAAGTTTTAAAATGTTTTTAAAAATAATATATTTTTCAATTGGAGTAAAACATTTGCTGTAGGGTGTTTTTTTTGTTGGATCAATTCTATGCTCCACTGGACCTCATCAGAACAGGAAAAAAAATTAACATATTTTGATTTACACATTCTTGCAATGGAGTAAACATTTTTTGTAGTTTCATCTTAAGTCAATTTCACGTTTCACTGGAGTTCATCAACAATAAACTCAAAATTAATTAAATTCAAATTGATTGATTATTCAAATATTTTGATTTTTAATGTTTGCCAACATTATTAACATTGTAAAAGTTTATTTAAAAGCATTAAGAGAATCACCCTACAGTTCATTAGTGCAAAAGAAAAACAGTTTAAATATTTTGATTTTCACACTGTAAGAATATGTTCTTCCATCCGAGTAAAAGTTTTTCTGTTGAATGTTTTGTGTTAAGATCTCCGTGCTCCGCTGGAGCTCATCGTTTCAGAACTGTTTGAACATAAAGAAAAAAAAGCGTGGTTTATCAATTAGTACAGTGTCACTCTCCCCATTATTTTAGAGAAAGCAGACTTAATTCATATTCCCCTCTCAAGACCGTGCACCTCAGGAGTTTTTTGCCTCCACCACCCCTGTTGAATGAAAGTAGGGTATATATACCAAAAGTGTAGTGAGGGAATGTTATTCGTCACAATTGTATTTGTGTAGAGAGACATGAAACTGGTAAGTTTTATATTTAAATCCGAGATTACTATTGTCCTTTTTGCCCTGAAAATATAAATTTGTAATGAGAAAGCATTAATACATTTTTAACAAAACTAAACTTTATTTTGAAGAACGCCATTTTCCTCTTCGTCTTAATCGCTTTCATCGAATTTACCTGGTGCCGCCCTAGGTACATTGCAATACCAATTGAAGATGTGGAGTTCCTGGAGATGAGCACAGTATCAAAACCGCAATTTAGAATACCGAGAGAAGGCCAATTACACGCTGTACAAGATTTCCCACAGGAACAAACGCCACGGGATAACAGGTAACTATTATAAATTAAATTAATTTAAAAAATTGATGGAATTGACTGATATTTTTTTTTTACAAGATATCAGAGGCAAGCCAGTGGAGGACACCACGACCATGTAGATTATGGAGCGCATACAGGCCACCACGGCTCTTTTGGGTGGTATGCAGAATTTCCAGTGCACAAAGCATCTTAAAATCTAGATACATTGATTTTTTACTGAATTGTTAATGTCTGAACATTAAAAACCAATTAAAAAAAAGTCAATGTATTTACAACCGCAATATACTAAATTGGACGAAACCTCAATAATTTACAAAAAATATCCAATGATGCATTCTTCCTTGTACATATAATATAATAAATTTTTTTATTACAAATATTTCCAGTCATCGTTTTTCTATTCTCAATTTATTCTACTATTTCGCAAACCAGAACTCAAAATTTAGAGAAAAAAACACTTTGTAGAAAATTACACATATTCACATACATTGTTGACAGATACTAGGGATAATAAATAACAATAATAGTGACAATAAAAGCATGAATCCATTAAAAAGACTCAAATCAAAACCACATTGGCATTAAATAAATTATGTAAAAAATAAAAAAAAAGAGGATATGCAGATCGGGGTGCTATAAATTATTTAAATCTTTCCGTAAGAAATATATTTTTTCTTCCAAATGTTAATAAATATTTATGTTTCCTAAGGAAAATGTTGTTTTATGTCCTTTTATTAGAAATATTATTAGCAGAGAAGCTCTCATCAAGAGAACTGTCTATAAGTGGCCCTCAGAGGAACTAACTCATAGAAGAAAAGTTTATGTCACCCGTTTATGAATATGCCATGAGAGGTTGATTCACGGACACTTACTTTAGGGCCACATCCTGCGTATGTGTCCGGCAAACAGAAAAGAGATGGTCAATGCCACCTAATCGAAGGTTGCAATTCCTTGGCTCTGTATAGGGAGAGTGTAGGAAAGCTACTCGAACATTCGTATGAGAATTGTACATGAGCACGGCAGCGAGTATCTGGGTCCCTTGTTCTGATTCTTGGAAGAAACAGGGTTGTTTATTGAAAGTTTTGTGTCATGTTGAGAGTGAACGTATTTATTGGCATGATATGTAGCGTAAGAGGGCTGATGGCGCAATATTGGCCCTACTATTAGGTTGGTTACATAATAGGTGTAAAAATGGTGATTAGAAGAATAGCAAGTACTCCACCATCCTAGCAGAGTGAATGATGTGTAAATAAGAAAGAATGTATTTAAAAGTGAGTGTGTGAATAGATTAGAAACTGATTGTGTTGGGTGCTGTAATGACCTTGCTGTTGGTCAGCGACTAGATGGAAAAGACCGAGATCTGCCCCCAGAACGCCAATACTCACAGTAGGTAATTCTTAAGGCCTGCTGGTAATTTACTGTAAAAGCCTGCCTGTGGACTAAGAGAAGTCATAGGCTCAATAATGTACCCAAATGTATAAATAGTAAATTTGTATAAATGAAAAAGTAGGCGTACTAGGCAGAGGAACAAAAATAACAATAATTAATAACAATTGTACGATGTATTTCATAGCACATAAAATAGTCATGATGAGACCAAATCACATTTAATTGAACAATTATCCCATTTCTCTCGTAATAAATATAATCAAGAAATCAACAGGTAAATACAATCTTTTTCACATAAATTTTTTTTTTAAACAATCAAAATTGTTTACATCAAATAACATACAACAAAACAATTGCGTTTTTTTCTTTCCTGTATATACTTCTCATTTGATTATTTATAAAAACCAAATATTATTTTGTTATTACTCATAACCCCGTACATACAGAATAAATGTGCACACCAAAACATCTAATATTACAGCTACTACTTCATAATTTGTGTAATTTGCAAAGCCCAATGACAAACAGTTTTAATTATTAAAATACTATCTTGCTTTAGATAATGACGAACAAAGCATTCTCTTAAAGTTGTCCTTTTTTATAAAATGTTTGGCAATACTTTATAATTAATTTTAGGAAGCACAAATAGTGTGACAAGGATTATAAATGAAATAAATAAAAATTAACTACAATAGATTAAAAATGTCCGTGCAAAAAAAATTCAAAGAGAGAAAATGAGAAAATTTTAATTATGAAAAATGAAAATATTAAGTCAGTTTAGTAACACAATTTTTAAACACCACGGTCAATAATTTAAATTTTTACTCTCCTTTGGATATATGTTTTCAGTGACCTAGTTGTTTATTGACTAATTAAACAGAACAAACTTCACATCTCCAACTCTGCCACTTTTGTATTATTGATTTATCAAAGTTTGTTTGGAAACAACTTATCCCAAGGGTTGTAAGGGGCACGAATATCATGGAAACAGTTGTGATAGAGTAAAATTGATTCCCACTGATTTTAAACATTAACCTTAAAATTTATGGTATTTTACACAAGTAGATTTGCACATAGAGCTAACTAATCATTCTCTATCTATTTTATACAATATTTTGTAAGTTATAATACTTATACTTTAAACTACACTTTTGCCCTAAAGTTTTTTTATTATATACAAATAAAGAAAGAAAAAAAAGCTATAAATGGTACATATGCAGTCTCAGATATAAGTAAGAAAATGTGAACTTATTTTGCTCAACAAGCCAAGTTTTGAGCAGAAAATACTTAATAAATTATTTATAATGGTTTTTTGATAATTTAGTAAAATATACTATCTATTTATAAATTTGCAAAAACATGTTTAAAAATAGATAATATTAAATACACTGGTTACGTCGTGACTTCTTGTTTGTATCAAATGTTAAGTTTAACCACCAGAAAAATTAGTCAATTTTGTTGAAAGTCTTAATTAAATTTGATACATTAGGCCAAAAATAAGAGCACAAATAAAACTTGATTTATTGCTTTAATTTTTGTATAAATTCTATAACCAGATAAGTATTGTAATGATGGTGTTTTTTTGAAAGGAACTTACAATGTATTACTTTTTGTAATTGGTCAGAATTATATACTACAAATGAGAAAAATAATAAAACAAAATATTTGGATTGTTTTACGTCTATATTAATAAGTACATTAAAATAAAAGTAAGTAAAGTTGTCTCTCTATGTGTCTAGACTTATTTTATTATTTTGTTTAGATGGATTTTCTCCAATAAAACACTTTTTTTTTTTTCAAGTTGAACAGCAAATTAAAACAAATTTTGGTACAACAGGCCATTTTTTTGTGAGAGAACAAGTGTTGCACAAATTTTGTATAAAGCCAAATTTTTTGGTATGTGTATTGAATTACAGTTGGGTAATTGCTGAAGGTTATTTCTAAATTTATTGAAATACATAACAGTGAAGCTTCTTTTAACAGATACCGCCCTTGAATGGATAAATTCTGATTTCCAGTCATCTTCACATTAAAAACTTCTATAAAGCAAACACAACCAGTAATAACGTGATCAACGTAGATAGCTTTCCAATTATATTCTGACCCTAAAACTCTCCGAAGTAGACAGCAGCCTCCAGAAAATGAATGTTTTCTGAGAAACAGTCCAATATTTTCCTGATATTGCTAGATTTTGTTTATGCCACTTTGCAAACATGTTTAAGTACTTCAATGTGTTTGACACTCAAAAAAAAGTGAGTGAAAGTGAAAAAGTAAGTGTGTGAGACTTGGGGTTCTGTGAAATTCTAAAGAATAAAAAGTAACTAAAGAAATGACATCCTACAGGTTTTTCCCCTTAAAATCTAGCTTGGTAGACCAGGACGAATTTGAATGCTTATCCAAGAAAAGGCCTAAAAAGGTTCAAAAAATTAAAGCCAAACAGATTTTAAATTTTTTTAGGTTGACGACAATTTTAGAACATGGCATAAGATTTCTTTTAAGAAACTTGGAAAAACAATATTGCACCGATTTTGAACCCAAAAACATTTTTAATTGTAATAAGATCCCTCAGTTTTTAGAGCACTACCAAAAAAAAACTATGCAGTTAAAAAATGAATGTTGCCAGAGAGGAAAAGTTTCAAAGGAGCTAACTCTGCTTTTAGGCAAAAGTATGCTTGGTGAATTTGAAAGACCTCTGATCATAGAAAAGGCCAAAAAGTCTTTGGTATTTTAAAGGTGTCTTGTAAACCCCATTGTGGCCCATCTTGTAAAACAGAATTTTTCTAACTCATATCTCAAAGAGGCCACCTCTGTATAGCAGACAATATTTCATTCCCCGAGAGTGTCCATTATAAGGAAGTTTCACTATATATATAAGACACAAAGCAAAAGTTTGTGTGTATAAGTGAAAATGAAAAAGAGAGAAAAGTAAGTACAAAAATGGGAAATTGGGTCAGCAACATATGAGATCATTAGGTAATCATAATATCTTATTTGTAACATATGTGTCCTGGGTTTGGTTCCTGGCAAAACCTCATTAATTTTCTCTTTAAATTTTCAAAGTATAAATTGAGAAAGAAATGTAATGTTGTCTGATACCCTTGTCAGAACCAGTCTTATAACAAAATGCTAAAAGTCTCTTTGAATTGAAATTTTGATTTTTTGTTTGCAAACCAAAAACTATTTTCCTTACAACTGTAATAGACACAAAAACAAAAAAAAATTGACTTTCAAGCTCTACCATGATTTATACAGACACTTGATTAATTTCTCCATTTGGCCCAACTTTGTAAAAAAACAAAATTAGATTTGGCACAAGTATGAGAGGACAAATGTTTTAATTTTACATTATGCCAAATTTATGAACAAACACACAATGAACACAATAAACATTTATTACATACATATATTTGGTATTACTCTACAAACTATTTAAAAAAAAAGACTAGAAAATTTAAAGCGCAATGATTTTACATAATGCATGATGATCTGACTAGAATTATGACAAATTAAAACATGCTTGGCACCGTAAGTATAATTTTGTTGGGAAAATTTTGAAACCATGTAGCCTGAATAAAGTGCCACTTTTAAAGACTACCACTTCTCTTAAATATTTTTAAACAGAGGAAGGAAGGAGCTGACACCAAAACAGACAAGAGAAGCATTTCATGAAAATCTCAAAATTAAAAAAAACCCTTGCTGATGAATATTTACATGAACATAAAAACATAATAAATTTTCTCTTAATTCCACAACCAACCCTGCTTTTACTATATGCTCCATGCCATAACAACCTTTTTGAATGGCACAAAAATCCCACAGCCCGCATCACTGAAATTAAAATTGGAAATCAAACACTGCGATATTTCAAATAGGATCGTTAAACTTACCAGTCAAAATACCTCGCCCCAGCAAAAGAGCCGTTACAATTTCCACCCTCGCCTGGAGCCAATTGGACTCCGACGTAAGGCTCAAGGGCACCAGGTAATGGTCCGACATATCTAACTTTGCCCACGGTCAGCCGGCCGTCGGATGTGATCACTTTGACCCATTGGTCTATTCGGAGGTCAGATGGTGCACGCGCCAAAAATGGTTGTGCTCGCTTAGGTGGTTTACATCCTAAAACAATGAGGAAAAATGTCAAATAATATATTACATATTTATCACTGAAAATTAAGAAAAATGAACAGCTTCATTATTAAAATAAAAAAAGAACAGGGTGGGCTATCAAGTTAATAGGAAGTTATACCACTATGCAATTAATTCATGTTTCAGTCTAATTTACCATTAGTGTAGGTGTGATCAGGCTGAGAATGCGATCGGGTTCTGCGCCTCCGATTGTAAATTGGGACGTCACCAGCTAAAATAGAGTCAATCGACCTTCTTAGGTAATCCTCTGACTCGTCTATGAGGGAATCAGTTGAATCTTCACCTCCGCTCTCTGCATCTGTCCTCAAGTCCGGTAGCGACATCCCTGGATACGAAGTTGAAAATTTGTTGTCAGCTGAAAAATACAATCCAAGTTAATTTTATGTCTTAATGTGTGGTGATTAGTGACCGTTAATCGATAATTATTCAGAAATCGTGAGATGCGGTCTGGTGTGATGTAGGTATCAGAAAAAATATTTTCTTTATCGTGCCAACGTTTCGATCTTTATTGAGATCATCTTCAGGGCCTGGGATTTACATTGTTTACATTTAACAAATACATTTAGGATGTGGAAAAGTGAATTTATACAATGCAAAATATATTTTTTATATTCAATAGGCCCTGAATAATACACGTAATCTGTAACTATATTTTAAAAGTTCATTTCCCTTTTTGACTGTTAAAAGAAACATTAGTTGTTTTTACAGGGCAATGTGCGTGAAATAAACATAAGATATCTATGCAAGTACAAGTTTCCAGGTTAAAAAAAAGAAACTTTAGTTGAAACTTGGCAGAGGGTGGGATAACAACTTTAAGAGTAGAGGGCTAGACATGCAATCTACAACGATCTGTCGACAACTCACAGAACGCACAATGTTTTGTTTCAGAACAGTTTATTATCATGCAAATTAGAAGTCTGATTAAAATCCGATGTATTGATTGTAATAAAGTAAAAAAAAAAATCTTTTCAGAACAATAACAATTAAAAGAAAGACGATCGATGTTAATAACTGTTGTAACAATTCTATTGATCCGTCAAATCAGTTTTCTGACTGGGGGTTCGAGAAAGGAAACTTACATAAAAATTTGACTTTATGTCTCCCTTGCGAGTGTGAAGGCCTAACACATCTTTGGCTGTTGTGCCTATACATTTTACAAGCCGAGTACATGCTGCTGTCTGAATGCTGAGATGCTTTAGGGATGTATGAAGAAGACAATGGGACACTCCTTGACCTGAAACATTATTTAGTTAAAAGCAAAAAATAAAAAAAAATTGAAATCACCACTATTACATGTTGACAGAAACTTAAAATTATACGTTATGTTTTAGAAGGGAGGGAGGGAGAGAGAGGGAGAGGGAGAGGGAGAGGGAGAGAGAGAGAGAGAGAGAGAGAGAGAGAGAGAGAGAGAGAGAGAGAGAGAAAGAGAGAGAGAACAAAAGAAGGAAGGAAATAAAGAATGCGGTAGAGAGAAAAACAATGTAATGAAAAGAAAAAAAAACGAGAAAAAAGATGACAAGAGAGGGAAGAGAGAGAGAGAGAGAGAGAGAGAGAGAGAGAGAGAGAGAGAGAGAGAGAGAGAAAGAGAGAGAGAACAAAAGAAGGAAGGAAATAAAGAATGCGGTAGAGAGAAAAACAATGTAATGAAAAGAAAAAAAAACGAGAAAAAAGATGACAAGAGAGGGAAAGAAAAAACGAAGGAGAGAGAGAGAGAGAGAGAGAGAGAGAGAGAGAGAAAAACTTGAACCTCATTGCTTAGTACAATCCATTTCAAATAAAGTAGTTATCAAAATGTTAGACCAATTTTAAAATTAACAATATTTAACCCATCATCGCACGCTTTCATATGTTAATTATTTGTAAATAATTAAAGCTAAAGCTTTAACATTGGACAAAAAAAAATTACATATATTTATATTTGTTATATTACATGATTACTACATAAGATTAAAATTATAAATAAATATTCCTTTTTTCTTAAATAAAATGCTTTGCACTGTATGGAATGTTCATAAATCGATAATATGAATGGTATCAGCCTGACATTTTGGAGGGACGCAATACTTTGTCTGTCAATAATATATTACTGGCTTATCAAAGTTATAAGGTTTCTGGGGTAAGGGTTTGTTGACTTTTGTGTGAGTCGTTCATCAATAAGTAATGATTTATTCCCCTTTTGTAGTTGTTCTACAATTGATTCTTCACCCACCACCACCCCTAGGACTGCAATATGGAATAGGTAAATGGGGGTGGGAGAAAGAAGTTGGGGATAGAGGTTCGTGACCCTCAAAATCTTACCTTATAACTTACATACACACTACCCCGAGTTGCTCATTTATTATTTTGATATCGTGTACAAACATTGACAATGCCATAAATAATTTCTTATGTAATTATTGTCTTATGACCTTATCCCTTTAATATGACAATTTAATGAATTGAAAAATTGCTTTATGATCATTTATATAAGAAATTGTCATTTAAAATGTAAAATAAAAAATATATTTGAACAATGAAAAACTTGAGTCACCATCAAAGACTGGGATAAATAAAATTCAAAATAAATAATTAACAAATATGAATATTACAATTACAAAAGAACAAATCAAAGCCTTAAGCAAGATTTTGATTACTTTTATGTTTAATATGTTTTTGATGTCCACCTTTTTTTCTTTTTTGGGATGGTTTAATTTTTTTATCTTTTAGGCTTTTTTTTGTAGATAGTTACAGAAATTTTAAATCATACGATGTTTAGGCATCCTGTGCCATTTTCAAGCACACAGTTTATTGAAAATGTAAAAAAATTGCATACATAGAAAAAGATTTTTTCAAGTTATTTTTTGATTTATTAGATAATATTGTTGAACTTTTTATAAATCTTCAAGATCAAGTTCATCTAATGAAGAACTTGATGTGAAATGTCTTCACAAATTTTACTGGGCAATTGTGCAACAGAGTAAATAATTTATTGTGAAATTTCCTCTTGTGGTCTGCAAGTGATAAACCTGAGATTTGGTCAATTCTTATCATTTTGGTCTGGAAAAGCCAAACTACAGATATATATGATTCAGTTCATACACTTATTTTTAAAATTAATAATTTATATGTTCTTTTCATTAAATTAAATAACAATTTCAAAATATAACTTAATGTTATAGTATGGATAATTTTTTCTGTCCAATTTATGAGGAAGTTTGAAGTCAATCCAAGATTGGCAATAACTTTGCAACTACAAGTTAGAAATGATCAATTATTTCTGAAGAACTGATGAGGTCTGCAAAGCAAACATTTGCAATAATGAATGTTCATAATACTTCAAAAGTATACAGGGAAGTGTATGTACTGCCGAAGCAAATATAAGCCATACGAGGTAGACATTTATGTGGGTTGCTCAATGTGCCCTAATTGAATGGTGCCATTTCTTGGCTCCTTATAGAGAGCGTGAAGGAATGCCATCTGACATAAGAATTGTGTTTGAGCATGACAGCGAATATTTGGGTCCGCAGTTCCAATCGTTGTTTTATTGTATATAGTAAAAGTTTTGTGTTGAGAGTGAATGCATTTATTGGCATGAATGTGTATCGATTGTGTTATATTGAGTACACCATCAACCATCTATTAAATCAATTGTATGTATTACATATGGAGGGTGATGGCAAAATATCAAGTCTGACTCCGGACGCAAAACCCAGGATAGGTGATTCTTGAGGCCTACCGGCAATATTTTATAAATTACACAAAAGCTGGAATTTCCGCGAGCTACAAGAAGTGATAGGTTCAACTCAGTACATGTATGTAGATGTGTGTACAAATTTGAGCTTATATAAATCAGTAATCAGTATACAGTATATAAGTTTAGAAAAATGAACTATTAGTCTAATTTATGAGGAAGTTTTTAAATAAAAAGTATTGAATGCACATACCACAGCTAGTATACAAGCTAAAAATAGCAAACTATTTATGTCTAATTTACGAGGAATTTTGTGAACCGAATGTTAAATATTTGAAATAATCCAACGATAGCATGTGAACATGTTGATTATGTTCTATATATTCTATATACTATTAGTATAATGCTTTAGGCTTGATGAAATACAGGGAACAGGATTTGAATCTGAATGGTTTTAATGGTAACATTTGATTTTCATGTCTTTTGGGTCCTCAGTAGCTAAGTGGTCAGCGAGTTGGATGCTCACAAACCCCGTGGTCATGGGTTCAATCCCACTATCACCCATGGCCATTTTTCACACTCCCCTTCCCCCAATAATAAATATTATTCTAATATGCAAGGACATAAGGCTATTAAAAGGTCAATACATTTGTAAGTGTTACACTTTTGGCTCATGGAAGTCATTCATTGCCAATTTGAATGTAATGTATAATGTGTGGTGATTGTTAGTGACCGTCATTCGATAATTATTCTAAAATCGTGAGATGCGGTCTGGTGTACGCGGTACACCAGACCACATCTCACGATTTCGGAAAAAGTAATGTACAATTCCAGGTCTCCTATGGAAGAAAAATATGGCTTCAATTTTCTTTTATTTGAGTGTATTTTCCACCTACATATTAAACAATTCTTGAAATTTCTTTTGCAGTATTACTTAAATCTTTTGCTATGGTATCAATCCTGAAAGAAGTCTTAATGAAACCCGAGCATGTGGGCTAATACAACTTTGATTGTTCTTATATGTACAATTGTTTGGTAGGATACACAATTAAAATTTAAAAAAGGAAATAAAGAAAAAACAATTTGGCATGGACTATCTATATAAAAACAAAAGGAAGAACACTGAAGGGTTGTAGCATGGGAACGCTTATGGTTCAGGAAGTGAAGGATAGGATGGGAAATTGCAAATTGCCTCTATTTTGCTCTAGCCAAAACAGGTATGATTTAAAAATAGTAGGCCCAAGAACCAATCCTTGTGGAACACCATCTACGATTTGGCTTTTGTGCCATTTGGAATGGTGACATTGAACATGGAAATTTCTATTTGTGAGATGGTTACATAAAAAGTGTAATAATATTCTGGACAATTATATAATTTTAATTTATATAAGAGTCCTTTGTGCCAAATCCAATCAAAAGCCATTTCAACAACAATTAAAATTGACTAATTTCGCGGTCCGCTTGACCAATTAATATCTTTCAATTAATTTTATTTCAACTAAAAATCTTAATTACTTGAAATCAATTAAAATGTCAAGTACATACAACAAAAAGCCTGTAAAAGCAATCAAAAAATAATAATTATGTATATAAAATAAATAAGATAAATCCAAACTATACATATGGTGGTACAAAATTAACTTGTGTTGAAGATAAAAAGAATCCTTCCTTTTACTTCTATTTGAAAATAAGAAAATGTAATAAAATTTATATGCATTGCTTTTACCTCTGGCAGTGTGTAGGAGAAGATGGCATAGAAGCCCATGTGGGTCGTTGAGGAGGCCCCATCCAATATGTGTCCAAAGAAGAGAGAGAAGGCCTCATAGAGTGCCTTCTCCGTGTATCTGAGAATTCACACGGTGGAATCGAGGTAGAAGATCCATGGTAGTAATCCCAAGACGGCCGTCTGTGGTGGCAGTCGCAGGGCGACCAACCTCCTTTTGCATACCCAGGCGAAATCATATCAGGGTTTTTCATGTATGAAAATGCTCTAGGATAGCGACAAAGGAGAGACCCCGTTTCTTGGCATAAATGATCCGCACTCCTTGACAGCTCCGGTACCATGCTGGTAAAATTTATATCAGAAAGCAGTACTCTACGAGCTTCTTGGGTCTTTTCGCTCAGCTTCAAAGAATGCTTTTTCAACTGTCCAAAAGGAAGGGTGAATTTACTTGGGAGGGTGGTGAAATTTTGAGACACCTTATTATGCGCGAGGTAACTCTCAGACCTCCAGTGTATCGGGACGGCTGTTATGTCCGTCTGTGCTTCGGACTCTTGTTTGAGGGTGTTTTTCTCAACGAGAATCGGCCTCACCGTCCGAGGGCTCTTATCCGGTAAAAATTTAACAGATGGTTTTGATTGAGGTTCGGTAAGATGAGTCTTTTTATTACCGGTGACGGCTTCTTTATGTATGATCGGTCTGTAAGGTAATGGTGTTGGAAGAGTGTTCCTTCTGTTTTGGTTTGGCGGTTCATTCTCATCTATCATGCCACATTTTGATATGTCGGTTTCAACAAGGACGCTATGTGACCATGTGTGTTTTAAATTTTCTGGTATATCTTCGTCATTTTTTTGCTTCCATCCGTCGGTTTCTGAAATCGACTCGAGATCGACCTGCCCTCCGAGCTCTTTGGTATCGTCTGTTGTAAATATGAGCTCTATGTCATCGACCTCTTCACTCTCTTCAGAATCGCCTTTCGATATCCTCGTGTTATCCGTATCTTTCTTCTCCTCGTCTTTCTTCTCTTGGACACCATTGACATCTGGTTTCTCCTCCTCGAACACATCGTCAATGCTGCTGTCGGATCCTTTGTCGCCCATGTCCTTTTCGTTCTTGTTCATATCTTTAGACAGGTATTTCTGACGAAGGACATGGTTCTCGATGGACAAACTCTCAATGGTCCTGTTGTAAGGCTCGGGATCGACTACGTTTTTAAACTGCTCCCTCAAGAGATGAAGCTCCTCTTTCGATTTCTGCAAGGCAGACCTCAAAGAGACGACCGTCTTGTGCAGAATCCTCACAGTCTCTAAGCTAGCGCCGTCATTCCAGGCTTGTTCTTCGTCCATCTAACAGACACTTTCATGATAGCTGTTTAACCGCGGTTTTAACAGACGGAAAGTAGGGCGATTGTTAATTTCACCCCAATCGGATTGAAAAAGTTGGAAAAATTCCACCCTCCGGCCGAACGACCCACGTCCCACTACGATGCCCGACAGTTCACTGTTTCCCAACGGATTGATCTGGGATATTTATCAACCAAACACTCAGGTGACGGGAACTGACGTCTCGTCCGCATTCGCTGAAACTGCGCAGTCGTACTTTTCAGCATCCACTCCCTTCCCTCCTTTCACGTTTCAGAATTTCAAGTTTCAGTAGTCTTACTTTCACTCTCTTTTAATCTCAATATATTTCCCAAAATACTTTATAATCATTTAAAGTATTTATGTCAACCAAACAAATACACTGACGGGAATCTAAAGAAGTTTAACATCCCAAGATATATTCAAAAAGTTTGCTATAAAAAAAATTCAATATAGTAAAACGATTGGAAAAGTTTGGATAGCTGTCAAAAACTGTCACTTATAACAACAAAAGTGACACTTAGAATAACCTACCAATAATTGTAACCTACAGTACATGTTACCCATTGTGCCCTCATGCCTTGTACGACTGATCAGAAATGATGAGGAAAATTGATTTTATATTTAAATTTGCTAGAAACAAGGGTGTAAATTATTCTCAGAAGCGCTGGAAAAACGGGCCTAACCATTGGGTAATTTTTTTAAAATCCTGTCATATATTGCAATACATACAGCTTTTTAAAAACAAATAATTTCCCTTCCACACGAATATTGGTCGGAGATTTCAATGTTTTTTTAAACTCTTAATTTAGCTGAGATTATAAATAACAAAAATTTCATTGCCACAATTATTTTGTTAGGGTTTTTCAATGTGCTGAACACTTCTTAACTTACTGACACTCTAAATAATAATCAATACAATAATAAAAAGTATAAACCTTAAATATACCAGGCAGTAATCGTAGTCTATGTATTATTTATGGGCCAACATACATCAAGTGGCCCTTTCCATTAAACGAAAAGTTTTACGGTTTTTTTTACACACTTGTTTGACACTTGCACACCTATTATGCTTTATAAACTGCAACTTTTCCTACCCACTCCTTATCTTATCCTGAAATCCTATCTAACTGACTGCTGCTTTTGAATAAAGTGCGGCAACAAGTTCTTGGAAATCAGACTGATACGATACAGCATCCCAGAAGGGGCCTTGGTCCCATTCTGTTTATTTCGCATATTGCTGACCTTTTTACACACCTCAATACCTTCATCACTATGTATGGACAATACTGCAATTTTGTCCTGGAACTCGAACTCTATTAAAGCTATCCCCAAAATCCAAGAACACCTTGACCTTATCAAAGATGAGCAAAAAGTGGAGGATGAGACTGAATGACGTAGAATGTACTCTGTGTGTAAGTTCATATTGAAAAAAAAAAAAAAAAAAAAAAAAAACAATCAACCACAAACCGACTTCCATTCAAGTCAATACTTAGGAACAGCAGACTGATGTGGAATTCCTACACAAGACTTGAGAGAAATCAACTTAGCAGAAGACTTGGACAACTGCCAGGACTTCTAGGACTGAAATCTATCTTCATCATCAACCTTATACAAGAATTTACTGCGACCAATTTGGACATGAGAGTGGAACTGTGGGCTAAGCCATCCAACACTTCCAAACAAAAGTCCTCAGACAAATCGTCAAAGCTCCTTACTACATCACTAATTTCACTATGCATCACTGCCACCACATTCCTTTTGTCGATGAATTGACCGTTCAGGATTCCAAAAGTTTCACACCATATTCTCCATCCATCCTAACACTACTGTTCAAGCCCTCTACTCTATCTTGGGAGCCAGCCATAATCGACGATGGCCTCAAGACCTTCCTCATTAATCCTTCACACTGAGTGTCAATATTCGTTGGTTTCTGGCCTGTGTCTCCGGTTCCAGTGCTGGCCTTAGTGTTATTGCTATGACTATGCAAAAAACATATTGTCATCACATTTTTACATTTGCAATATGTACTAATATGTATAGGCATGTAAAATACAATTAAAATTAATTAAATTAAAAAATATTAAATTAAAAATATTGTTGTGGCACTCTTTATAACTTAGGATTTATTTTTAATTAATACATTTTTTCCACAGTCTGTGTTATTAAAAAAGAAATCAGCCTCAGACAAAGCCCTTGAACACTTTGATGATTTTTACAAAAATGTGTTTAACAAAGCCTGGCCGTCTGTCCGAGTCGCCCTTCTATCTCAAAATAAGCATATCGCCGTCGTTAACAACTTCAGCGATACAGAAAACATAATCCCATCCTTGGAGGTATGACTTTAAGTTTAAAATTCCATAATTGACTGTTTACTAAGTGCAGATTTTAGAATCTCGGTGCAATCAACATTAAAAAATTATTTGAAATCGAAGCAGAAAGAATCAAGTCAGAAGGCCATAAAAGGAGAAGACGAAGCAGAACGAGGCCACAAAATGAAAATCTAGAAATGAAAATGGAAAAGATCAGCGAGGAGAAATTAGATGAAGAATTAAGCAGTATATACCCAGAAGTTCCTGAAGTGAAAGATGAAACTCGTTCAGTACAAGTCGATGAGTGGGTTACCATCAGTAAAATTACTGTTTCTATTATTCTAAATTAAATTGTATTTTAGTGATAATAGACTCATTGATCCAGAAGTTGGAAAACTATCGGGATCACTCTATGAATTTGTTCCAACGTCCCGGCTTAAAGGGAAAGAAGACTGGGTTTTAGAGTCTCAACATTATCAATATTATGAAAGTGGTACTGATTTCCCTATTAGAATTATCGAACAAGAAAATATTACTTTTCCACCTCACCTATCAGTCTATACGTTTGAAACTGGGAACATTTCAAAGTTTCCTATGAGCAAAAAAGGAGACACAGGAGTATCAGGTAAAATTTATATATTATTTTATTGTGTTTCGCTATACTTTATATTGTACTACAGTATATGGACAATTTACAGATTATTATCTGCTTGACGGTGGTTCACTTCTTCCCGTTTTGGCTCTGGGGCTTAGGCCTGGTGACTGTGTCTTGGATATGTGTTCCAGCCCAGGGGGAAAATCATTCCTCTGCTTGCAGACGCTTAACATTAGTAATATCAACTTTGTCAACTTGTATTGTGCAAAATGACTTAATTTTTTTTCATTAGGCAAATTAGTGGCAAATGATGTAAGTGTTTCACGTCTCAATAGAGTAAGAAGAGTTATGCAAGAATTCTTCTACGATTTTCATAAGAAATTGGAAAATGGAGAATTGGAGCTGTCTTGTAGCGACGGACGAGATTTAGATAGCAAAAATATTTTTGACAAGGTGATTTTTTTATTAATAAAACTGGATTCAATAATATAAATAAAAGTACATAATAATTTTTAGATATTGGTTGATGCCCCTTGTACAAATGATAGGCATTCACTTTCAGACCCTGACAATAATATATTCAAACCAGCCAGGATAAAAGAGAGAATCAAAATTCCTGAAGTCCAGTCAGAACTATTAACGTAGGCTTTATTTTCACATATTTTATACTTTAATAAAAAATTGACCTCCTTTCTGTACTACTCACTATCAGATCAGCACTAAAACTTGTAAAAAAAGGTGGAACAGTTGTTTATTCGACATGCTCACTTTCTCCGATTCAAAATGATGGCGTTGTACACATGGCGTTGAAAAAAATCTGGGAAGATACTGATTACAAAATAGCTGTTGTGTAAGTACTTATCTGGCCTTTTTTTAAAAAATAAATAATTAACTTAATTTTTAATATTTACTTTTAGCGATATGAGACGGGCTTTAGAACCGACAGAAATAATGTATAAGTACAGTCACAACATTGGTCTACGGTACGGACATCTTGTCATTCCCTATCTACCTTGTAACTTCGGACCGATGTATTTCTGTAAGTTTATTAAAGTGGGTTAGTTTGTTTTATTCTGTATAATTTGGATTAAACAATAAAGAAAATGTTAATATATTTGTTTTTAGAAGTTTATTTGTCTGTTGAGTCTAGTTTTAACTTAATGAATTTAAAGTTTATAATCTTAAAAGTTAAAATTATCTTCAGAGTTTTGTTGGCTGTTTGACCTTAAACATAAACGTTTTATTTTTGATTGTCATGGAATGATTATTATGCTCAGAATTGAAAATTTTACTTAAATTTCCATTTTGATGAGAGAAAATGAAGAATTAAACTCATTTTTCGGCTATTTCTCTTGAAATGACATTTTTACAGTGAGTTATAATTGTAAAAGAATCATTGAAAATTTTACTTTCTTTGGTTTGGACAATTTTTTTCCTCTACAGTTTATTTTAACGTTAAACCTGTTTTTAACAGAAACAGTTGAATGTCCATTTGTACAAAAATTCAGGTAAATATAATAAATGAAAAAAGAGATTAGGTCTATAAGTCATATGCTATATTTTTATGTCACTGTTGTAAATTTCAACTTTCACAGCAAAAATTATTGTTTGAGTGTTGTCTTTAAGTCAACAATGGAAACGGGGCTTCAAGCCATTTTATTTTAAAGATACAAATAGCGCTTTAGGACCCCACATGAGCCCTCTCGTCATATTTATGTATTATATATGTAAATAAAGAGTAAAAAATGTTTAAAAGCTGGATTCAATTTATCCAACACTTTAAATTGCCCTTTTTCCTTTATAAATATTTTCAAACTTGTAGTTTTAGTGTTGATTTAGAAAATAAATAAACCTTTGAATAGCTAAATATTTATTGATCCTGTAGCCAGATGATCCTGGTGATGATATTGATCCTGGTCTGCCTGTTATTATTATTATTATTATTTTTTTTTATGTCAGAGAAGTTTGGTATTTTGTTATCTATAGGCTTGGAAGCAGGGTGAAGTGAAGCAGTGACTTCATTTTTTTGAAAAATTTAAATGAGAGACTTGCAGAGATCAACCACTGTTGATAGCGAGATGCTAAATAAATCTGAAAGACAAAACCAGTGATTGACTGGCAAAGATGATCAGATCAGTAGAAACTATTATTGATTACAATATGAGTAAACCATAGAAAACATTTTTTGGTTGTAGAATAACACCTGAAGAAATGTACCTTACCTTAGCAACAGGTACCAAAATGGAGTTAAGGAACAAATGAAGAAATTGTTGCATTTTTCAAGTAATAAAGAAATTTTTACTATTATACCGGGCAAAGAAAATAATAATGTATCCATTGTGCAATTTCTGAACAAGATGGCCACTGTGTTGAAGGTAATTATTTTTTTTAATTCACCCCCTAATAAAAATTTTTAATAAATCTGTCTAATATTGGGTGTATATTTGATTAAGAAAGTACTCTATTAACTCTTCGAGGCCGTCTACTCTTGCAAAGAAACAAGAAATTGCGCAAATGCGTCCTTGCCTACTCTTATGTCGCGAAAATTCGAATTGGCCGGCCGATTGACCGAGATCGCCGTGCACAATGAACCGTGAAGACAGTTTTTGCAAAAGTGGTTTTCAAAAGAAAAGAAGAAGACGGCGAAAAGAAGAATATTTGAACTCTGAATCAACGGCAGACACTTGACAATCCTGTTTCCTGCGAAGGACTCGTGCTGTTCGCTCGATTTAGCGGGCACAAAGGTCACATTCTAGTTCGTGTCCTCAGTGGCTTCCTACTTTTTCAGGTTTGCCTTCAACTCCATTTCGCATGCTGGCAGCCTCGTTTATTTTTAGGAAAGTTTATCGCATTGTTTCTCTAATAACTTTATTTTTTAGAATTCGTTTCAAAACTTAACATGGCCGTTCACGGCCAACAAGTGATGTGAACCAAAGTAGAAAGAAAATGTATAGTTTTACAGTAGATACTTATTAGTCAGCATTTAAATGAGAAACAAATGCTATAATATTTTAAACAATAATAATAATACCACATCCCTGAACCATAAGTTCCAAATGTTCTTCAGTTAGTGGAAAAATAGCAAGAACGGGCGGACCGTATATGCTGCAATAAAAAAAAATTCCTATGATCACATTTATAATATACTGTCGACATTTTATCACGCTAGAACAATATGAAAATTTGAAACTGTAAAAAAAATATTGTTGACACCTTTTTCAATGATATACTTTTGTTTTATTAACAATGTTATTTAATTAAGATGAAAAGTTATTAAGCGTTCATTAATTATGAAATTAGTCAAAATTGGTGGCGCAGCTTGAACTAGGGAAATGTTCCGAATCACATTTGGTTCGTCCTTTCTTTTTTTATATTAGCATTATTCAAATAAAATTCGTCTCAAATAACTGGATTTTTGCGCGAGGAACTCTAGATGGTGCACTCTTGTTGAAGATAGCGAGAACTGGCGGACCGGAAATATGTCTATAAATCCTTTTGTCAGTTCATTAGAAACGTCTTTTTTTTTGCCACAGTTTGTGAAATGTTACAATTAGTCTCATAGGGATAATCTTTGAGCATTGTTGAAAAAAGCGCGCATTGGCGGACCGGAAATATATGTATAAATCCTTTTGCCAGTTCATTAGAAACGTCTTTTTTCGCCACAGTTTGTGAAATGTTACACTTAGCCTCATAGGGATAATCTTTGAGTATCGTTGAAAAAAAGCGCGCATTGGCGGACCGGAAATATATGTATAAATCCTTATGCCAGTTCATTAGAAACGTTCTTTTTTGTCAAAATTTGTGAATTTTTACAATTAGCCTCATGAAGAATAATCTTTTTACATCGGTGAAAAAGCGTGAATTGTCGGACCGAAGCTAGTACATAAAAAGGCTGAAAGTTCGTCCCAAAAATTATCGACTCTATAGTCACTTTCCATCCTCAGAAGTAAAATTCTGGCAATCGTTGGGATCTTGTTAAAGACATAGGGAGAATTTTCGGGCCCATTTTCACCTTCATCATATATCATAATAGAACAATTTATTTTTGCTAAATGTTCGGAAAAATCGTGAATGTTTGAAGTCACAATCAACATCAGAGGAGCTCCATTGTCGGTCCTTGCTGAAGACAGCGAGAACGGGCGGACCTGAAAAATATCGAGGCCTCTGCCAATCCTATGACCATACTGGGAAATCCTTTTATTAATTGTCTACTCTAAACTACTATAACTTTAACTGTAAGACATAGTTAAGGAACTTTTACTAACGAGATACTTATAAGTTAAGTAACAATGTAATAAGTTTATAAGTTCTCATTCTTTTGTTTTATTTTAATCAAAATTAATACACACTTCAGTTTGATCAGTCAGCCAGACGCGACATTTCCCCGTCTTCAGTGTTGGTTCTCGCATCATGGATATAAGCAGAGAGAAGCATGTACACAACTCCAGCATTAAATATGGTCAAATGTCGAAACGCGTCTGACAAGCAAACCAAAATGATCGATAACCAGAAATAAAATGGTTAAAACATAGCGAGTCAAGGCGGACCGGATATATCGGGTTGTCCGGAAAATAATGCAGGATTTTAAGTTTTCATTAAAAAAAATCTATATAAAATATTCTGTTTACGTTTACAGGATTACTCATTTGTATGAATGTCAACACTTATTAATCCTCTTCCAAATGATATTGTTTGTTTACCTCTGTAGCATTCCGCTACTTGGAAATAATTCAGTCATCCTTATAATGTCAAAGCGAGAATTTCGTACGATTTTCTTTTACGAGTTTAAACTCGGCCGAAGCGGAGCCCAAACGGCTAGAAACATTAACCAAGTCTGGGGCGAGGGTTGTGTTAATGAGTGCACTGTGCAAAGGTGGTTTAAAAAATTTCGGGAGGGAGATTTCAGCCTTGAAGATGAAGAAGGTCGTGGAAGGCCTTCCTCTCTTAATGATGATGTTCTGCGATCAGTGGTGGAAGAAAACCCCAAAACAACTGTTCGAGAACTTGCAGAGCAACTCAAAGTCAGTAAAACGACCGTCGCTGACCACCTCAAGGCGATTGGAAAAGTGAAAAAACTCGAAAATTGGGTTCCACACTCATTAAACGATCGCCAAAAAAATCAGCGCTTTGATGTTTGTGCATCACTTCTTTGTCGAAACAAAAATGACCCATTTCTGGCCAGAATTGTTACATGTGACGAAAAGTGGATTCTCTACGATAACACTAGACGTTCTGGACAGTGGCTCGACAAAGGAGAAGCTCCAATACATTTTCCAAAGCCCCCAACTCATCAAAAAAAGGTAATGGTTACGGTATGGTGGGCTTCATTTGGTTTAATACACTACAGCTTCTTAAATCCTGGCGAAACCATCAATGCTGAATCATACTGTAACCAAATTAATACCATGCATCAGAAATTGGCAGTAATGAAGCCCTCTTTGGTCAATCGGAAAGGGCCCATTTTGTTGCATGACAACGCTCGACCACATGTGTCACGTGTAACGTCACAAAAATTATTGGAGCTTGGCTATGAAACTTTGCCTCACCCACCCTACTCTCCGGACCTCTCGCCTACTGACTACCATTTTTTTAGACACCTGGACCACTACTTACAACACATAATATTCAAAAATCAAACGGAACTGGAAAATGCATTTATTGACTTTATCAATTCTAAAAATTCTGAATTCTACTCAGACGGAATTAATAAGTTACCAACACGTTGGGAGAAATGTATTGAGAGTATGGGAAATTATTTTGATTAAAGAACATTGCTTTAAAGTAACTAGTTTCTTTTTTTTTGTTTAATACCAAAATCCTGCATTATTTTCCGGACAACCCAATATTTCGATTCGGCTGTCAGTTCCCACGACCATATTTGAATACAATACTATTAAGCAGTAAAGTACTTTCAATTCAAGGAATATATTGAAAATAATTTTGTAGATCGGGAAATATGGATTTCTATGTATTATAGATGTAGTAGACTAAAAAACCTTTGACTTAATTTCATAAAAAAAACATCCTGTATTCTTTTCATTCCTACTGTTTATTGAAAATACAGTAGATCTCTAGATACGTTTCTTAAGAGTGGTTTAGAGAGGAGGCAATGCTACTAAGAGTAACATTGTCGGAATGAAAGGTGTACAAGAAGGTGGAGGAAGAACGGAAGGGAAGGTGGAGGAAAGGAGTGGGGCTTCTGTAGCCCGAATGTCAAATCTAAAATCTTCCGAGTCAGTCAAGAGTGCGGTGAAGGAGTGCGATGTCCGTGAGCAACTACACGCCAGGGTACATCGGCCCTCCACCACTTGCAGCCCCTTACCCAGGTGTGTACACGAGGGTGGACGGGTCAACCCCCGGGGGGAAGACGACGCTCCACGCCGTCCTCGATTATGACGACGATCTTGCGGATGTACCTCCGGATATACAATCCGACCAGCTACTGTTCAACAACAATCTTACTCAATCTGCTTATCCAATCTACCCCTATGCCCCGTCACCGGCCAACAGCACCTTGATAAACTTCCCAGTAAGTGCCTACTAATAATATAAGAGTAATTATATTAATATTTTAATGTGTGGTGTTTAGTGACCAATGATTATTTGGAGATCGTGAGATGCGGTCTAGTGTGATGTAGGTTTCAGAAAAAATTTTCTTTATCGTACCAACGTTTCGATATTTATTGAGATCATCTTCAGGACTTAAAGTGTTTGTTTTCTGTGTATATGTGTCATTATTGTGTGTTGTGTTCTCACTCTCAACACGACACACAAGACAGACACATCTACCGGAAAACACTTTGAGCCCTGAAGATGACCACAATAAAGATTGAAACGTTGGCAGGATAAAGAAAATGTTTTTCTAAAACCTAAATCACACCAGACCGCATCTCACGATCTTCAAATAATTAATATTTTCAGTAAAACTTCATTGAATGAGAAATGTAGCTAATTAATTAAATATTCCATCCAATTGCTGTACACCATGTACGGGCAGATTTGCGAAATAAACAGTAATTTTGTAAAAACTAAACAAAGAACTCATGATAAATATATTTATGCACACCTAAGAAAACTTTTTGCACTTAAATTTCGTCTACTATGATATTTTTAGGTTTAACCGTTTCTCTTTGATTAATAATCATTAGTAAAAATGAAACAAAGGAAATTTAAAAAAAATTTATTGCTGCAGTTCGAGCAATTTTAATATTTCACTTTTCCTCGCTTAGATTTGATAACTTCTTGATGAAATTTTGAAGAATATAATTCAGCTTAAGTTCCTTAAGCCAAAACTTAAGAAAATATCTCATGTACAATAGATTTGTTACAATATTTGTAGGTTTAACGTTTCTCTTTAATTAATAATCAGTTGTAAAATTAAAACAAAGGAAATGAAAAAAAAATTATCGCCACATTTCGAGCAATTTAATATTATTAGATTTGATAACTTCTTGATGAAATTTTGAAGAATATAATTTAGATTAAGTTCATTAAGCCAAAACTTAAGAAAATTTCTTATGTACACTACATTTCTAATAATATTTTTTAGGTTTAATCGTTTCTCTTAGATTAATAATCAGTTGTTAAAAGAAACAAAGGAAATATAAAAGAAAATATTATCGCTACATTTCGAGCAATTTTTGCTTAGATCCCGTCCTGATGAACTTACGAAGACTATAACTCAGCTTGAGTTTCTTAAGCTAAAACTTGAGAAAATATCTTATGTACAATAGATTTGTTATAATATTTGTAGGTTTAATCGTTTCTCTTTGATTAATACTTATTATAAGATAAATTGATTAATGATTCAAATATGGCATTAAGTTTTTAAAGAGAGTTTTTTTTCTGTAAGCTAGCTATTTACTCGTTAATTATATTATTTTTGAAGTACCAATTGATTAGCTAACAATTAATTAATTTTTAAAATATAAATAATCCCAAAGACAGAAATTGGTTTGAATTACAGACATCTACATGTAATCGTTAAGTGTAAGGTATAATTTATTAAATTATACTTCAGCTTAGTCACAGCCTTCTTTAACAAAAAATTGGTTCATATAAAATATATATTTATATGATAAAACAGCTTTAAACAATTTGATAAAATGAAAAAATGACTATTCAAAACGAAGAAAATATTTTGTAGTTTTAAAAGAATTATTCAGCAATCGATTAAATTTATTGTATCAACGTTCAAATTTTATTACTTAACACTTAGGCATTTAGGATGAAGTATCCAATTTTTCAAAAAGTTCAAAAAATATGAATTTGTTTATATACAATTTTTTGTAAATAATCTTGAAACAATCAAACTTTTTATGGTTCGAACTTATTGCTGACATTCTGATATATATTGAATGATTTCTTGTCGGAAGATGTTTGCTGATCCAAATCGTTTATGGTTTAGTATTAACTTACAAGCAAGTCATCCTTGGTAAACTAGCACCCGGTGAATAGGCCTCGTTGGTAAATTATGTGGTTTTGTTATGAAATTGAGTTATCCCGAAAAAGCAAGAGAACGTAGCTTTGAAGCCTTTCCAAGACCCGTTTGGATGTTTAAAATCTTCAATACTATAAATGATAGTTTCACGTTTTCAATTATATTTTTCACGGGAAAATGCGAATAAATACACCAACCCAAATGTTTAGTTGGTATAATAAATATTGTATGTATTGTGCTGTTGGTATATTGTAGGTTTCTTCTATAACGTAGAACTTTTTTTTAGTTTAACCTGGGGAAAACACATCTATAATAGTGCATGAAATATCGAGATAATATCCATCTAAGGCAAAACTTGTTAACCTTTCTTTATCTATTTATAGGAAATTAAACACCAACCTCCTGCTCTTAATGTACGCTCAGAAGACAATCGTTTGGACGTATTGCGTGATCGGCTTGCCCGTAATATGCAAACAAATCCTTCCACATTTCTCGGATCCTTCATGAATAAGTCTACAATGATGATGCTGTTCTGCAATTCAGAATCGGATTTACACAACGGCCGGCCGTTCTCAAAAGTGAAACTTGCCTCTTTCCTACTATCTTGTAATCAACTCGGCCGGACTTTTTTTTCCTCTTCTTTTTAATTTCCGGCACACATCATTTTTCACTTGGTCGAAACCGAATTCTGAAGAAATTAACTGATCTTTTCGACTTGTTTTGTTTCCAAACTTGCCGGACGGATTTAAATTCAGGGGAGTTCGTTTACTGAAATCAATTAAAACAAAAACAATACTATTAAATAAAAATATAAGACCAATTAAACTCAACTGTTGCTTCGTAAGGTACTGACCACCTTTGTTAAAAACAACAGTGGATAAGGCAGGGATCGAACCCGCGACCGTCAACGAAAGAGTGGTACCACATCTCTCACATCAACGACCCCACTTTTTTATGTTTTACAATTATACATGTATATACAGAGTTTTATGTTCAATTTTTCAATTTACACAGATTTCACATGCAATTTCTCCGACGACAGACGGATTTAATTCCATGTTGTTTGTACTTTAATTATATATTCCATGATGTGCTCAAAATCGTAAAATAAAGTATTTCTATCTATCTATTCATGTAATAAGTCCAATTAAAAAGAAAGAGAAAAAAGAGAACCTTTGTACAAGTTTAGTATAACATTCTTATCTTTTAATACCCTTTTAGCTGTGATCCGTAAAACGCGATATTCTGGACTCATTCTATCAAAAAGTGTTGTGCAATGAACACGTTAAAGCCTATATCTCATCAATTAAAAGTTGTAAGTACTTTAAATATAAAACAGTAGCAATTAGTAACTTTATGACTTCAATTTCATAGAAAATAATTCGTTTTGTTCTAATTTTGAAACGTTAAAATTATTCTCACAAGAATCGTTTGGCATTTCGGTGCTATAATCTATTCTAACCATTTGAAAAACTTTTTTTTAAACAGGCCTACAAGTTGTATTTCTTAATAACGTATTTATGAAAATTTTCAAAGACTAATTGTCCTCAGACGTGTTGTTAAACATTGCATTTCTTCAGTTGTGTAGATTTAAGTTAGTTTTCGTTTAATTTATAAGAATATATATNGAGAGAGAGAGAGTGAGAGAGAGAGAGAGAGAGAGAGAAAGAGAGAGAGAGAGTGAGAGAGAGATATAAAGAGAGAGAAAAAGATAGATACATAGTGAGAGAGAGAGAGAGAGAGAGAGAGAGAGAGAGAGAGAGAGAGAGAGAGAGAGAGTGAGAGAGAGATGTAATAACAACTTCCATCGCTGGGTGGTTGCTGTTCATGTTTCCAGCAGAAAGGAACGAATGCAGTTGTAAAAAAAAGAAAGAAAAATATTTAAAAAAACATATTGGTGAGAGTATATGTGTATGCTTGATTATTTTACTTTACCAGATTTAAAAAAAAATTATAAAAATTGACTTTCTATTATTTTAGGAAAAGTTTTTCTAAGAGGATAATTTCAGTTTTTCTTTATGACTGTTCGAATCTCTGTCTCTCACACACTCATCAATATGTTGTTTTTTAAATTTTTTATTCTGTTTTTACAACTGCGTTCGTTTGATGCAACAGGTAAACATAGTACATACAAGTTAAATAACTTCAACTGCGGATTCCTTTTTTTAAAAACTTTATTTGAAGTTACAAGAACAAGTTTAACCTAATTTAACCTCTCGTCAAGCTCTAGGCAAGGAATCGTAATTAAAAATACAGAATTAAATAAGTTGGTCTCTTGGGAAGGTGCTGACTACAATACTAGGAATGACACCTTCATCTAAGCGTTGTAAACAGATAATTTCACATAACTTACATATAAACAATAGCATAGGAACATGGACAGCAAACATCCAGTGATGATAGCCGTTATTACATCAATATGATGAGTGAGTTGGGCTACACCGTAGGCGACCGTAGTGAGCTTCGAAGGGCCGCCTACCTATTAGGTAACGTGGACAGGTTTTTGACAAAAGGGTTTGGATGATGGGATAGTTAGGAATGGCACCTTTTGTAGCGGGATTGGGCTAGATGAACACTTAGGTCTGTATGGATGGTGTGATTGGAAACATAGAATGACTATTGTTCTAAGGATTTTAGATTGAAGGGATTGGATTCGATTAAGGTTGGAACGCTTAGCAGTCCTGTAGAGTTTAAATCCGATTGGGAGCCAGAAGGACAATTTGAATTTTTTTTATATGGTTCGCAACAGTGATGGGACCTTGATTCTCCACTGTCAGAGAAGGATTCGCGGATATGAAGTGCATTTAAAGATTACAGGAAGTGTGAAGGGATCTTTAGATGATATTGTTGTGTTGTGTGGGTAGGTAGGAGGTATAAATTGACTAAAGCAGAGCAGCGAGAATGTGGAACACCAGCTAAGGGTAATATGTAGGATCTTGGAAGTAACGATCTTTAAGATAGGATCGTAGGATGTAGATGTAGATGTAATTTTTCAGGATATGGTATACTGCGCCCTTTAAGATCTATTGTATCCCCTGTTCTCTGCCTAAAGCACATAAGCGAGTTCTATTTCATCAAGAAACTTGATT